TGCATTTTTTTGAGATTACCAAAACTTTCCAGTTGAAAGCTAATTGTGATAAGATTATCAGCAAATAAGATAATAAACTGATAAATTAATTAAGTAGTACAGTCAAGCAAATATATATCTAACAATCTGTGCATGTAATACGATGATAGAAAAGTTGCTGGTATTAAAATTAAGCAAACGCTTCAAAGTTTTTTTTCTCGATTCTAATTTAAATTTTAAATTTGAAAAAGACGAGAAAAAAAAACCAAACTTTTGACTCTAACTTTTGATTTCACCTAATTTTAATTTTATCTAATTTTGAAATATTTTAATTTCATCTGATCTCGTAGTACAAAAAAGGAGAAAAAAATACAATTTTAGGTCTTCTATATGCGAAACAAAATTATGAATTCTGATTTCACAAAAGTATGGGAAAGAAAAATTTTAGTATAACGAAGAAGTTAAGTATGAAATAATTTGCGATACTTCAACACATTTATACAAAGCAGCCGAAGTCATAAAGAGATGTCATCTGGGCTCTGTTAAAGTAAATCAGAATCTTTAATAATTTAAATAATTTCATATTTCCAACCATATTATCAACATTAATAATTTAAGTAATTTCATATTTCCAACCATATTAACACATTTGATAAGAAATAAATGATTAACTTCAATTATACTTATTTGAACTAAATCTGAAATACATATTTTTGATTTATCTGAATATAATTCTTTAAGCTATACCTGTAATGTTTATTTCATATAATTATCTGAAAGTTTTTTTCCCGATACATTTCCATATTTTATTTTTATTTTTATCTTTTATCCTCTCATTTCTTTCCTTTATTTTATATTTAACTTATCAATTACAAAACAAAAAATTTGTTACTTAGAAAAAAATTTGTTACTTTTGAATTTGTTATTTAGAAGGAAGAAGAACTTTTTATCATTTACTTTTCATCAGTATCAATCATTTAATAATAAGTGCAGCTTTTATCGCTTTTCTACTGTTCCGTTTCTTTTCAATTCATTATCAAATCAAAAACTTTACACACTTTTATCCTTAATATGGATTAAAAGCTCTAACATTCTTACAATTGTAAAATATCACATGCAGTGATTTTATCAGATTGATAATGATCGTTTAAATGTTTTGTCTGAACTATTGAAATTTGTTTGAAAAATACACTTTAAAAATTTTTTACTTAGAAGGAAGAAAAATGGTTATAAAAAAAAAAAAATATGGACTGATGTGTAGAAGATAAGGCATTAGAATGCAGAATTTCATTCCTATCGCCTTCATTAAAAAAAAAAAAAAAAAAGAAAAATGAGACAAAAAAAGAAGGAAGAGAGGATAAAATGATATCTAATTACAACATTTCAAAATAAAGCTCTAAAAGTTTGCCGACAGTTGGGATAATCTCTGCAAATGATGTTTTAAATTTTAATCTTATTTTTTATTGAATAGATATGATCATGAGTTAAGTTCAAATTTGGTTTATAATATTTTGCTTTATCATCTAAAAAGTTAACTTTTTTCTTCTTTCAAAATTCTAACCATTTATTTTTAAATTATACTGAAACGCGGTAAATGATGGTAGTATCGGAGTAATGTATGTATTTCTGGGTGTTGTCATTGATGATTATCAAATAATTGGTGTCACAGCCTATCGATGTATCTGTCTGTCACATTTATATGCGTATGTGTATGTATGTATGTGTATGTGTGTGTGTGTGTGTGTGTGTGTATGTGTGTGTATGTGTATGTTTATATATGTATATGTCGGACTAGTGATGTGTGTGGCGGTATGTTGATCGGTGCCTGTATGTGTCAGTGGTTGAGTATTGTTTTGGAGGTGCGATAACACCATGTAGAAGAAGGTAGGTAGACTTATATCAGAGCCATAAATCTCACCTCAAAGTTGAAAGGATCTCGATATATAGGTCAATCAGTATGTATTGATGGAGCGAAGACCAAAATGACAAGAAGCGATGGGACAGTTGTGGCCAGAAGAGACAAAGTTCATGGTCTATTAATGGTAGATTCCGAGATGTGGCTAGGGAGAGAACTGACAAACTATTGGTTGGTATCGAGAGGGAAGGCAAGAGTTCTGATCTCGACAAAGAGGACGAGCAACCGGTAACTGATCGGTAGAATGAGGTAATGCATGACTTTTACATATGATGATGACACACACACACACATACACACACACACACACACACATACACATTCATTTACTGATAACAATCAAAGACATATTTGTTAAGGAATCTCCGCCAAAAAGACTGCCATAAAGGTCTTTTAACCACATTTTTCTCCTTCTAAACAAGAAATTTCTATGCCGGCTTCTTTTTTTTTTTTATTTCCTTAATATTAAATGTTTTAAAAGAAGATGAAAAAGAATAGTTTGAGTGTACAGAACAAAATATCTTCTCGAATTTGTATTTATGAAATAAAGAGCCAAGTATTGTCCTTTCTATGGTCATTAGTACATGTATAGTAAAATAGCTATGAATAGTTTCATTCAATACCGAAAGAAGAACCGAATTTTATCTTTCAATCTTAAAACCAAATTGCTGGTAAAGTCATATTACTAAAATTATGAAAGATAAAAGAAAAAAGAAATAAGATTACAAAGGAAGTTTTTCTTTTCAAATAAAATTTAATACACTAATTTTACCTCAATTCTTGATCTCGATATAATTCATCATTTTTCGAAAACAAAAGAAGAAAACATCATTCATTTTCAATTGCATTTTGTAAACATGTGGTAAAGCATGTTTGTTAAATAATGATGATGACGATGATGATGATATGATAAGGATCTTCGAGGGTAACCCTTGTTGATTTACATCCTCAATGTTATGAAAATTATTTCTAGTCCTATGATTATCATTACTTTCTTTTTATTCTTTGGTTTGTTGAAAGAGGAATTGATGAATTAAAATTTACATTTCATTTCTATTTTTATGTTTTCATTAATTTTTGGTATAAATGTGTGGAATGAAATAACTAACTTTCATACTAACTTTACTAACTTTCTAAATATACTAACTTAACTTTCTTAGTATGTTTTTCACAACTTTATGTTACTACCATATTTTCTTTATAGATCAAATAGTAAAAGATATTTTGCCAAGTACTTTTCCGAATTTATAAAATATAAGAATTATTAGATTCGAATTGATAATGTACCAAAAAAGAAGAAAATTAAAACTTTTTTTAATCCAGGCTTATCCGTTTAATGTTAAATTTCTTTCTTGTTAATAATTCTTAAATATATAACAGATCACATTACATCCAATATAAGTATAGACTTTATCACATCATATCATATCCTTTTGTAACTGCTGAAATCGATATGTTTCAAAGGTTAGATTATTATTGTTCGTTAGAATTATTTCCAGATAAAAGCACTATTGGATCACTTATTATTTACAATTGTAATTATTATTATTATTATTTTTATTTTCATTATTGATCATTGTTGAATTATCATTGTTTATGTTGCAAATAAAATTATTAATAAATGGAAAATCCGGGTCATGGCACTTTATGTCTCACTTTTCATGTTATTTTCTCTCAACTTGGTCATTTTTTTTTTAACACTTTAATCTAATCATCTGACATATTCTTTTCAAATAAAGTGACATCTGTCATTAAAACTTATCATTCAGAAATTCCAATTACAGTAATCTTTCCTCTCCATTTACTAAATTCTCGAAATTACAGACATATGGATACCGTAATCTGATTCAAAAAAAAAAAAACGAAAAAACGAAATATTTAGCTTATGATGATGACAATGATAAGCGATGACAATGATGACAGTACAATATTGATGATAAATGGGATAATTTAAACAAATGAATGCGCTATATGTCAAACAAAAGAGCCCATATGGTTTTCGTAATTTACAATCCTTTGATGAAAGCGTGTGAACACGATGACGTGTTGCTAACGAATACTGCTGCATAAGAAAGCAGTGTATAAACATAAATGCAAGTTGTGAAATGCTATAGCTGAAACAGAAACAGATCGCATCCTTTTGTACTGTAACCGTTTTCTTTGTTGAAATGTTAAATGCCACGTGTTGTCATATCTCCAATTTCAAATCTTGACTATAATTTAAATTATTCTGGGAAACTAAACGAGTTCTAAGATTCAGAAATATGAATTTATGTGAGATTGAAAGCCTAAATCTGAGATCTTTGATCTTTTGTGAGCAATCATATCTTTCCTTAAAAATTAAAACAAAACCTTAGACAACACAACCTCTTGACATATGCACGATTCGATTATGACCAGATTTTTGTACCTGAGTGACGGAACTGATCCGTTTTTTTCAACGAAACATCTTAGTGCTTCAATCAAAACTATTGAGGAAATTGATTTTAGTTGTTTAGCTGGTTTTGAATCAGCTTGCTTTCTGAGAATATAAATCTAAACACTACATGATTTCGTAAGTGCAAAAAGCTTAAATTAACTTAAATTACAACATTTTTTATCAGTTGAAACTAACACCAACAAACTTTTAGAATTTTGTCACATAAACATCTGACAAATGATAAGTACCAAATTGTTGATAACGAATAATTAGCAGAGGAAAAAATTGAAGCGTTAACTTGAGCGAAAATAAAAATATCAATTTACAATAATTGACAGAATTCATTAAATAAAACTTGCAATTCAGGTGGAAAAACTAACAGATGGTAACAGAAAGAACAGGAACTATTTTAACTAGTTAACTTACTGATACATTTATAAAAATCTGCAGTCAGAGGAATGTCTTTGGGAAATCTTTGGGAAATGATAATTAAACTTGGGAGCAAAATTCATCATCATTAATTCATATGCATCTTCTAATTGTAGTTAAATTCCTTACACTACCAGTCTTCTTACTACAATTTAAAAAGTCATACAAATAACCCAAGAAACTGGAAGAAATTACATATTTTTCATTTAGGTTGATGCTAAAAAATGTTCAAATACCATAGTCGAGCGTAAGTAAAGATCAAATTTCATACAAGGAAGCTTTCTTTCCTCGATAACCACTTTTCCGCATTGTTGGTGATTCTTGCAGATTGATAAACTTTAGCTTTAACTTTTCTATGCGACGAATTTGACGTAATTGGCGCTAAAAGCAACTTTTCACAACTCTCTTATGTAAATGAAGATACATTTTCAAGAGATAAAAAATCTATAGAGAGATAAAGTACTGACCAATCGATATTCTCGCCAATAAAGCCAGCCGTCAACTTCTGGATCCAAATCTTCCAATTGCTTTTTTCCTTCTAATCTCAGTTCAAAAAGCCACTGTGGATACTCAGAATCGGGCAAAATTTTCGGATCTTCACCACCTATAATTAATAATTATTAAATTCAGTGCACCAATAGATCTTCTCCCCTAACTTTATTTTTTTTACTCTGAAAAATGCGTGTGAATATTAATTGCTTCGGTGAAGTGGTACAACATTGCAGAGGATATATGTATAATGAATTTGACATAGAAAATTTCAATGCCTAAACATACCATCAAGAAGATAATTTACACAGACATGAGTGCATAGTTTCTCGGTATTCAAATCAATGAAACTTCTATCTTCTTTTTCAGGAATAATCTTTGAACTGATCGCAGCATAATTTCTTAATGTCATTACAAGTCCTGAAATGAGAAATTTGACAGGTGATCGAATAGTGCACTAATATTTCTTTCAGACATCAAATAATAGAATGAATCACAAGCATTAGAAGAACCAGTAATGTAATAATTTATGAAGTGCCAACCAAATGTAAAACGAACAAATGAATGAACACAGGATAGAAGAAAATTTACAGGAATCTAAACAGTTAAGTGCTATGACTTCATAAGCAAAATTACGTCGTCAACAAATCATTCTTTTATTCATTAACACAGTTGATTATGTAATTCAGATTTTTTGTTAAGCCAATAAAAACAAGACGGTAGTTGTTCATTTAGGAGTTGCCTTCCCAAATTTTACAATTTTAAAATTTTACAAAAAAAAAAAAAAATTAGAAGAAAAATTTTGAAAACGGAAGCATTCTACTTTTAGTCTATTTTAGATACTATTTTTTCTCTTCTTTTTTAATTCACCAAACAAAGAAATCCTTTTGCTAGTTTAAATAAAGAAAGAGCAATTGCGAAAGCAATACATATTTTCAAAAATTGCAAGCGTTAGAACCAGAGTTCATATTGTTGACCATAAAAAGAAAAACAAAATTACTTACCATGTGTAAAAGGTACTATTTCAGGTGACTTGATACATCGAGATATGGCAACTATTGTTTTAGAAAGCATATTTATCCTACATTTGATATGATCATCCTGAAACGCTATCAGTTTTCAAAAAATTAAATATTAATTTAGAACTATCCAAAAAAGAACAATACCTAGAAGTATTACTCCAAAATTCATTATTACATTACTCAATTATACACTCATAAATAAAACAAAATAATACCACCAAATATTCCCCGCACACCTTGTAATCTAAGAATTCTCGAAGTGAAAGGAAAGCCTTTTTCACATTGGGTATTTCAAGACTACGGCCCACTTTGATGTGCTATTGAAACAAAACGTCTAAATTGACAAGTGATACTTGATTCGATTGCTTGAATTTCAGCCTGAATTATTTAATTTAACAATTAATCGCGATGAACTTTTGATACACTACGATAGTTTTCTAAATTTGTGAAATATGAATTGAATAAGAATAATAGAAGGTTAATTGTTTAAAGTTATTTACAATGAGAAAAAAAAAGTGCATTATAAAGCAGTATTAGTTATTACAATGTTTATTACTGATATAAGCTTCTTAGATTATCATTACATTATAAATCTTCTTTATTCTACTATATATTCATTTATTTTTAGTTATATAGTTCAATCATTTGTGATATTTTCAGTACTACTTTTGATAGCCTATTTCCTCATACTGAATAACTTTTTTTTTTGTTAGAATTGTTAAAATTCTCTTGTTAGTGACATATTTTATAACACAGTCTTGTATTCATCCTTATAGTCTGACGAATTTACCAAGAAAATGCCCACTTAGCGATTATGTTTGCAATAGCAAAGTTGTTTATCAATCTGGAATATTTAAGTTCTTTTTTTTCCATGCTGTGATATGATATTGCTACGTGATCAAAAAAAAAACTAGTGTAAATAATCTGACTCGGGATTTTGGTTTATTTTTTATTGATTTTTCAAAATAATTTTCGCATTAATTTTTGGTCATGTATCTCTGAACGTTTAACATTAGTTTGAATGTTTTAGATTATTTTGTGAATTTCAGTGACTTTTAGAGATGTAATTAGATAATTTCCTGACCATGCGGTATTTCAGATTTTATCATTAGCATTAAAACAGAAGAATAAACAGTAACTGATATATGACCCTTTTCGTTAATGTTCATGTTTGTTGGTGGAGAACTCTCTGATTTTAGCATTTTTTTTTTTTTTTTTAAACTGTTTATCTCGGAATATGAAAAATCTTCAGATTCACAATACTGATGACTGACGTTGGACAAGTGGTAACACTGTATATGAGAAATGGTAAATGTATTCAGGGACGGATCAAGTCCGTTGATTCAGATAATCAAATTGTGCTCGTAGAACGGCCCTTTTTGTACGATTTCTTATTTCTCTCTGTCATTCTCAAGATATATCTGGAAAGTTTATGACAGGACCTGGGCTCGATATTTAATCTGTTGTATTGTGTAGAAAAAAATATATTTCATTTCAAAATTTTGCAGTTTTAGCAATGAATTTTCAGAGATGGTAAGCCGATGGGTGGACTTGAAAGAAAATTCCCGATCAGTTCGATTCTTTCTTTCCGGATTTTGGATGTTAGGACTGAAACAAGGAATGGAAAGGTAATATTACGAAGCAATGTGGAATGGAAATAAAGAAAGGGGCTCGATCGCAAATTGAATATTTTAATAAATTCGGAACTTAGACAAAGCCAAAAATGATGTTTTTGGATTATCATCAGAAGTTCATTAGATATAAAAGTATAAAGCCAAACATAGGAATCACCTGCTGTTCTTTTTTTTTGGGTGCAGGTAGAAGAATGAGAGGTAAATGCTCTCATATGTTCATGTGATTTCAAATAGTTTTGTTTGCACGTTTCCATAACTTTGATTAGACAATTCTAATAATTCATATGTTTGTTATTCGATAGTTTTTTCTGATTTTAACGGATTGCAGTATTCAGGTTATTTCTGAAGGAATTACTGCAGAATCTATAGATGCTCCTGATAATGGTGCAAGTGCGAAAGGAAGCAAAGCACGATCAGCTGAACATTCGATGAACATTCAAAAACCTTTAATTGAATTGCATGCCGCCGGTGACTTTCCATCAAAAGCAGCAAAACATATAAGGTCAGCACAACGAACAAATTTCAAAAAGGGATCAGGTAAAGCATCTACAAGCACTCACAAGAATATTGCTACTACCGATACTGCCACAATTCTCGCGTTCAGTAATCCATCACTCCATACAAATCAACAGCAGTCGCCTTGCTCCTCTCCTTCTGGTTCGTCTTGTTCATCGCCAATAACCAAAGCATTGTAAGTGTGTTTTTTCTTTCTTTCTTTTTTAAGAATATGTAATTTTTTCAATTTGATTCGACCGCTGTCTTAAATCAACAAGGACAATTAAAGGGAAGTAATTAATATTTTTAATCATATTCCGCTCATTTGGAGTATTCAGCTATTATCAGTATCTATCACTAATTTTTCTTTTTTAGATCGAAATTAAACAGTAAGCCTGGAACTCACTCAGGTGGGAAACGTTTTCCAGCAAATTGTAATGAACCGAAATTGCTGCCATGTTCAGCTGGTCAGTCGCACAAGGCAAGACGAAGTAAACATATGCTTGTATTCAGATCTTGATTTCAAAAGAATGCTTGTTGGTACAGATTGAGATATCTTGGACGTGATTAGATGGTTTAATTCGAGTATTTTTTCTTTTTTTTTCAAATATTAGTGAGTTACTTATTTAAAAAAAAAAATAATTTTAGATCGTGGGCATAGTGGGATATTGGAATCAGATGCTTTTGGTCAAAATAATCGAGATAAGAAAACAAATGAAGATCTTATTAAACCTATAGATTTTGATTTGAATGAGGATTTCGATTTTGAGAAAAATTTGGAGATTTTCAGAAATTATGTGAGTAATATTTATATTCGCTTTGATATGTTCATTTCACCCAATTTTTTAATGAAATTATGATGTTGTTCATTTACACAACTTAATGATTCTTTGAAATGGAAATTGATTTTTTTTTCAGGTTTTCTTTGAAATTTTTATTGTCATCATTATATTAGTTATCTGTATTGTAAGCAGTTCATTCCTCATACTTAATGATATTTTTTTTCCTGTAATTTTTTTTTCCTACCAGTTCATGGATAAATATTTTGGTATAACAGGAAAAAAATGCCAATATTTCCGAGCAGAAGGAAATCTCAGCTCTGGGGACGCAGTTTTCACAGAAGAATTACGAACATTTTGAAAATATCATTTCGGATCCATCGAGAGTTACGTCATGGACAACAAGGACAAATGATCAGTTTACTGCTGCTCGTTTTGAAAAAACAGTGGATGGACAGCGGATTCCGTTTTTAAAACCGTGTGATAAGGAAAAGTTTTTGCAGGTTACTTTCAAGTGTATTTTGCGTTAATTTTTATTAAACATGAACAGTTTCCGAGTTTAAATTTTATTTAGTGTTTAGTTATTAGTTCTCCAAAATCTTTTCAAAACTGATCAAAACCATTTCGTTGGTTATCTTTGCTGATTAAGGGTGGTAATCTCTTTATTTGCACTCTTCCAATTCAATCGTTGCAGAGAGCGGAACCTTATTTGGGAAGTGATATATTCCATGTAATGATTGCCGATCGTTTAATGCTGTTTATTTGGAACATTATTGATAGATAAGTTTTCTTTTTCCTTTCGAACTTTGTATTTAATAATACAGATACTACAATATATATATATAATTTGTAGTTCAGGTTTAACTTGACATTGTATTATGTTTCATACAAGTTCCGAGAAAGTGATCTTTTTTTCTATCTTTAATTCTACCTTCTCTCACAGACAGAAAGCACCAAGAAAAAAACTGTAATGTAAAGAAAAAAGATTGCAATACAATCAAAGTAAGTAAACTTCTTGACGGTAAAGATTATACGACGTACGAAATTTGAAGTTTTAAAAAAACATAAGTACCAAAACGTTGAACTGCAAACTATAACGAATATCTCAATAATTATTAAGATTAAAACAGTTTTTTTTTTAAAAAAAAACTATATAATTTGATAAATTATAGGTTTGAAATAATGGTTAGTCAAATGGTTGTGTTGGACTCAGCAGCAGTTAATACTTTTTTAACGACGATGTTTTTGCGTCACATCTCAAATAGAGCTTGTCAAACAGTTGTATATTCATGCTTACTGGGGCAGTACAATTTGCCACATGTACTTCAAGTCCATGATGTACAAGAGCTTCCGAAACATGATGTTCAAGTAATTATTTTTGTTTTCATTTCTGTATATTGTATGAAATAATATAAATTGCGTAACAGAATGGAGACATTTTGTTGACTAAAATTAAGTGCTTTATATTATACATTATTAATGTTTTCAAGGTTTTGAAACAATTTTCAAATTTAAAATTAGCTTCCAGTGATGCCTGTACAGTTTTATTTTGATATTTAAATTATGTAGGCTTAATTATAATTAGCTTCATCTCTCTTCGTCACACAGTTTATAAACCGAACGAGAAATGCAAGTGTAATTTTTTTTTTTCGGATTCCTGCTTTGATTTATTATAGCTTATCGTTGTTTTGGGCCCTTTGCTTTTGGAAAGTGTCAAGAAATGGATAAAGAATTTGTGGCCGCCAGTTCATTTGATTTGTATAGAGAAACCGCCAGAGCTTATCAAAAATGAGCATATCTTGATGGTTGGTGTTGGAACTGATAACAGTGATTGTAAGTTTTTTATACTTTTAAATCTAGAATCTGATAAGTCCTATATTTTGGGAATATTATTAAAATGATCTCAAATTAAGTATGATTGCGTTATCTATAAAAACTGTTTCAAGCATACAATCATTATTTATTATTATAGCCTTAAAGCAAAAGAATTCGGATGGTTTGCGCAGTATTGCAGATATTGGAATACCATTTGCTTGGATGGATGCTGATTCTGCTGCATGTCTTTCACGTGCATTTGCTACTCAAAATATTGTTTTATGTTGAAGAAATTATTGGTACAATTGTGTTGTCTCAGAAATTTTGTTTAATTTCTCTACCAAAACTTTGCAGATTGTAATTGCATTGATTCGTCTATTTTTGAGATTATAACAATTTATATTGCTACCATAAATGGTTGTTTTATATGTTTTATATTCTCAATTTCCCACGTATTCCTGTAAAATGATAAATTAGCCTTAATTTCATTATCATATCACCTTTTTATACATTTTTGCGGTTATTTTGAATATGGATTTTATGTTTGACTCATTAAACATAGTGCTATTTAGAAATAGTTTAACTTTTCATAATGGTCAAACGCTTAGGTCAGTTGCATGATTCTTTAGTGTATCACAATTTAGTAGCAGTAACGGTGAGTCTCATCTAAGTTTTGGTGCATAAATCTTTTCTTGCATCCCTCAGTTTTATTAATGTTTTGTTGGATCTAGCAAATTCCGTTTTTTGAAAAGTATTATATCATTTGGATGGTTTGAAATTCTTGATAAAACTGAATACTCTTTAGTCTTTTTATGTTGTTCTTTTCTGCAAATTAAAAAATGCAGTTCAAATTTCTTCTGTCGGATGAAATATTATTTTGTTTGTTATTAGATGATAAATAGGTTGGATATTTCCTTTCAGTTATGTTCCGGAGACTTTCTAGATCATTTGATGGATTGAGTTAATGATTTTGCGTAGATTACATAATGGTAAATTGATTTTTTTATTTATAGTTTTATAAAGTTAGTTGAATGAAATAGCAGTTAATATAAAATTTTAACAATAAGATATGTATACAACTACGAAACTATCGTAAATGAGTTGGATATCGTGCGTTACATATTAATATCTAAGCAATTCTTGAATATTATCAGTAATATATTTTTAGGAAAGAATAAATTTGTATTGGAGATGTCCATTTCTATTTTTTTTCCCAGTGAATTTTGTTAAAAAATGACTGCAGGACATTTTTCAATTTTTGCAGCGGAAGCAAATGCTACCACAACGTAAGTTCTGATTTAATTTTTAAACGATTATAAAATAAAAATGTTGTTTAGAGCTTAGAAAATTTTTCAACGTATAGCAAATGGTTAGGTGTTAAAATTCCAGGACAAGCAATTATTCGTTGTGGAAAGTGTTAACGCTAAGTGGCGAAGATATCTCGTCATTCTGGGAAATGTTTCTTGGAATTACGTTATGGATGGTCATTTCATATGCATTTGTTTACATTATTGTTGCATTAATTTCAATGATTATGCTACGAAATCATCCATGGATGTTTATTTATGCAGCTTCTATATTTGGTTAGTTCTTTGAATTTTATTATTTAGCTGGATTTAGTTTCTTTTTCATTTATTAGGTTTATAATTAATATTTGTCTTGTTGAAGTGTAAACTTGGTTATTTTCCATTTCTCCATTTTCTTGAACGAACTTACTCTTAGGTTAGACCACGTAATTATATATTACATCTTGATAAATGTTATCATATTTTTTCCCTTCGTGATGAATAAATTATTTCACTCAAAAAAGTATCTTTCCTCATAATTATACTGATATTTTTGACTTGTGGAATCATTCAATTGCTTAAGTGATTGATGAAATTGTTTGATTAATGTTCAATTGACATGCACATACTTCCAAACTAAAAGGGCTTAAAGTAGTAATCCATTCATTAGACATAAAACAGAAATTCATGTCTTTCATTCACTTTTGATTCATAATATTCGTAATGAACAAATCTGCAGCAAATGGATAAAAAAAAGATGAATGATGAATTACCGCTAAACTAAATGCTAGAAAATGAGGGTCATTTCATCACAATTCGAATTCATTACCTGAAAAATTGATTTAGATATAAATCTACTGATTTAGGTATTGAAGGTATAAATAGTTCAAATAATTTAATATTTGCTTAAATTTTATAAAACTTAGATTATTTAATAGTTCTAATTTCTTCAAGATGTCCATTCATGATAATATTTCAGGTATGGCAATATTAGGCCCTGCAACTGTAGGTGCGCTAACAAGTGCTTCAATAGCGCTTATGTTTACATCAGCTGATAAAGCAATTAGTTGTTGGCATTGCATGGTGCTTGGTTCAGCACAAACACTTGCTGTTGTGATTATTAGTTTTTCAAGGATATTAGCTACTCTATAGTAATAATCACATCTTTTTTTTTTCGGAATTCATGATGTCGTGCTGTTTTCGTTATGGATACATTGACTTATTTTTCGATTCTAGGTTTTCCATTTGAAACACTGGAATTTCCAGATATTAATGATCAGTGAAATCTTTTTCATGAAGGTTTACATGAGAATTTTATAGTGTGACTATTTTTTACTCTTATTTCAATTTCAGAATTGTGTTGCGAGGTTTTTCGGTGTTTACAAAGAATGATGAAAGCTCCTACAGGTAGAAAGTGGAAGCTAATAAAATTATTTATGTCTTCATATATTGTTCAAACGGGAAACTGAATCATTAGTATTGAAAAATTGTAGATATATGCACAAATATGTATATAAATATGCAAATATGTATATAAAGTTTTCCTCTTCACTTTTTCATAAGCGTTATAATGATAAGCTAAGTTCTGTGTTCTGTTTTTCCATTTTCATTCCTAATTTTTTGTTATATGTTTTTGTTTCTGTTGCACTTTTTGCTGATTTGCTCAATTTTCTGCCTCCTTTTTTCTCGTTTTTACAAGAATGTGTGTTCATTTAAGAATAGTTTTTAGAATAATTTAAGGAAAATGAAAATATAAAATTAAACATCATTCAAATGAAACATTCATTGCTGGGTTATGGAAAAATTCCTAAGTTAAATTAATCCACTTATCAACAGTAAATTATGTTTTGGAAATATTAATTTGTGTTTCTAAGTCTTTTTGTAGTTGAATGATAGTCAGTACCATACCGGGAGTGTGAGGTTAATTGTCGTATTTCGAAAAAAAAAGGAATCTCTGCAAAGAAAAATCATTTAATGTCGCCTCGTCCTCTTGCTTTTGACTTAATTACATTAGCTTCATAATTGGTTGACTTTAATTTTGCAATATAATTACAGCACAGATGTCCTTAACATCGCCAATATATTGTAAATAATTCTGGTCAGTAATTAAATCAGCTTTTTTTCGAGTAAATAAACTTTTTAACATTAAACGTTGAAATGTATCAAGAGAGTATTATTCGAGGAAACATTCCATCCGCGAACCAATGTTGTTTTTGAGAATCTAAGCTTGATATTACCCACTAAGAGTGGAGCGTATGACTTTAAAAAAGTTTAAAGGACTAAAATGGGACATTTAGTTTTTTAAATATTTCCTCCCTTGCTTTATATGAATTTCATTTGCAACAAAGCTTTTCTCCCCCTCCACCAGTCGGTCGGAGATGTTGTATTTTACGAATAAAGATTAATTCTTAGTGAATTTCTAATTTCCTGCTATCCAGTTTTCGGAAGAAATCATTTTAGATTTTTCAATGCTTTAAAAAAAATTAGTCGTTGATAGAAATTAATTCTGTAATTTATTTCATTATAGACAGTATTGGATGTTGTCCGAATTTTGTTCTGAGTGCGGCACAGTGCTTCCAATACCAGCTACCGCTCCCGTTACCATTACGTGTAGCTACTGCCGAACGCAATGGCATATCAAACGTTAGTATTTCTGGCAATCATTGAAACATGAAATTGTGATCAGCATTTTTAATACTTCCTACGCTAGGGCTATTTGAATTATTGAAATCTTACTGTCACAGAAAATCAAAATGAGATGTGTCGGAAATGGGCTGCTAACTTCTTTACTCAATATAAACAATTCTTAATTACATAATTATAAAATAACCAGAAATATTGGACTAAGCATCTCACAAATATAGTCCTACTTGACTAAAGAAGCTTATAGTGTTTACCGGTAATTCCTCATCGACATATTTGCAGCTATTCGAAACAAACTGGTGTATAGGTCCGAGAAAGTATACCAGAATCGTGTGCTGAATGCCAACGAAGGTACACTGGAAAACCCTGTTGTTGATAAAATATGTGATAAATGTGGCCATGGCAAGATGAGTTATGCATGTAGACAAACACGATCTGCTGATGAAGGACAAACAGTATTTTATATGTGCTTGAAATGCAATTATAATGTGGTGGAAAATGCATGAAAATATAAATTTATATGTAGTAATTCGTGTTATCAAAAACAGAGCGACGACAATAATATATAATTAAAATAAAGAGCTCTTTTTTCAAAAAAAGCTATGAAAATTGGTATGAAACGAACCCGAATTAATGCGTAAAACTTAGAAAATATTTAATAAAATAATATCTCTAATATTTAATCCCTCTTTTCCCAAAGGGCAAATTATAAAGTCATTCCCTTCCTTCCCGAACCGCAAAATATTAGATCTTCCCTCCTTTCCCCATAACACAAAATATATACTAGAGATTGCTATAACGGAGCTAAGCCAATAAAAAAGAGTACTATGATTTAAAGCTTTAGCATCTTCGAATTCCAAAATTTTATCAATCTGAAGAAAACTTTGGAAGTCATTATTTAATCGCATTTCTGAGTTACGATTTGGTATGACGAATATGGCTGTCGGTGCCGTAAATGTGAAACTAAACGATAGAACAAAAAAACTATTATACCCAAAGCAACCACAATATAACTACCAATAACAGTTTTCTCATTCGGTAGAAAACATTTGTTGACCTGAATATCATCGGGCATTACGGTGACAAGAAGAAAAGCAGGTTGTGGGATATTTCGCCATGAAAACGATGATAATGTCCATTCATTCATACTGTACGGTGGTGGCCACCTAGAATTTATATAAACAGCAATACTTTCGGAATCACTGTTCCCGAACATATCCAACAGACGTGCTTACTACTTAAAAAAAAGCGACTTTAAACATTATGAATTCTTAACATTTTGAAATGACGAAAAGTTTTGCCCAGTGAATCCACAAATTATGCAGATTTCAAAGAGAACTAAAAAATATGCAATTAGAACTTAATATGCAGATATTTTTCATGTGTACGGATTTTTTATGATGACGTATATGAAACAGGTTTGTTGTGAGGGTATGATTAATTCAAAATTTGAAACTAGAACTCACCAAGTTCGACAACTATAATGTGCATGACCATTAAAAACAGCACGAGGTTTTAACTTTTCCAAAATATACTGAGATGAAGCATTGGAAAGACAATCAATACCAACATGAAAGCGATTCGATTTCATTGGTTCCGGAGCCGCATCATAGTCATCCGGGCAGTTCGCATCACTTTCCCTGAACTTCAAAACTTATATAAAAGTTGATTTCTTTTTTTAAATCTTCACAAATACTTATAATTTCGAATTCAGTAACATAAGAAATTTTCATTTGAAAACAACTATTAATACAAAAAAAGGGAAAAAAATTCGGTCAAATGCGTACGTATCTGATGATAATGACAGACAGGAACTAAGAGTTATCCGAAGGCAAGATGAACATAACTTTGTCAATCGTATTTTGTGATAAGCTAAAACGAATTTAAGAAAAAGAAAAAAAACTCTGATTTGATAATTTGGGAAGAAAAAAAACTTTGAATTTCATTGAAATTTACCTATACAATGGAAAGTGAAGTAGCAGAACAGGTCTTGATTGTGTATTACATATTGTTACATTTTTGGTGCAATCAAAACTTCGACTCAGTTCCTCAATTTGACGTTCGGTGGAGGTGCAGAGGAAACAACCATCGCGTTCAAGTGTCATCGAATTTAGCAATACAAAATGATTCCCACCGATAACAATGTGATCAGCAAATGACCGTGAAAAATGTTCGGACAGAAACCGGAGTCGTGCTGGACTAATCCTGTTAGATAAAGCTTTTCGAATTATATTTGGATTAAATTTCTCAAAGCTTTTTTAACATCTCAAATGCTGAAGGATTACAAAAATAGCATTTCTCAAATTTTCCGGCACTAGAAAATAAAAACAGTGCGCTGTTTTATTTTGTCCCATTACCATTAACAAACTAACGCCAGTCCTGCTGGATCTCAAAAAAAAACTAGATAAAAAAAAATTAGATAATTGGAAAAAAACATATGTAATTGGCTTTAATTTAAAGTCCTCAAAATTTGACACGCTTAATATTAAAAGAATATAAAACATTATGAAGCTTACTGATCATGAAATCCAATATCATGATTACCCAGAATACACTGTCTCTCAACATCTCTAGGTACATAAAAAAGTTCATTGAAACGATTTATTTTATTCGTAAGTTCTTGCTGATTGCTTATGGTACCTTCATCAAATATATCGCCTGAAATTCTCTCTTTCTCCCTCAAAATCATCTTAAAAATCTTTGATTCATTAGAAAAAATCAAAAAATTCCTTCACTTATTTTCTTACAAATTCCTTCTCTTATAGACAAATACGATAGAAAATAATCTGATCGAATCTTTCAGAAAACAAAAGTACTTAAAAAAAGAAAAACGGAGACATATTTACTCAAAACCAGTCAAACTATTATCTGCTTCATGCAGTCTTGGGTGATTCGTCTATCATTTGAAGTATATGAATTTCAAACTATGCTAAGGATGCTGTCGCCAGCAATTATGGGAGTTAATAAATTTTGTTCTTATTGTCCTTTTGATTGCATATTTAAAGACTAAACATTTATTTATGAATTTAAAATTATAATATATATTTGAACAAATCTAAAAAGAAAACGGCATGTGGATGCATTAGTGATACGGCTGACTGAAACGATCGATGCATTTGCCATTCCCTGAAAAATAGCAAAACCAAGCATAATATGGCTCATCCTTCTTTGCAGCTCAAGTGTAAATATCTAAAGTAAATATAACTGAATCAGAAGTATTGAAAACTTATATGGTATGGTTTTTTGAAATTGAACAAAATGGAGTAAAACTGAACTTCTAAGAATTCTAATACTTTTAAACATACTTCAATAAATTTATAGTATATCCATTGAATTTCTGAAAACTATTGCAGTTCAAGGTTGCAAACATTTCTATTAAATCATTTCATGTTATTAACTTTTACTTGGATTAAACACTACTCAAATTTAATGCAACTATTACTTTCACTTGCCCAATCAAATGTCAATTTTTGTCCACATCTTATCCACTGCATAAACTTTCTCTTGTCTTTTAAGTTATCCAGACATTTCTAATTTTACATATTGATGCAACTAACTTCCTGAATGCAACTTTATTTTTACATAAACAATTTCACGTCCAAAAAAATTAATTTCAACATCCGGTTCTTGTAATAAGAAATGGAAGATAGTGGAACGGAAGTCTGCGTTTTTACTTTCATGAAATTCTTCTTTAACTCTGATCTTTACACAGAGAATAAAAAAAAGGACAGGAAAGCGAACCGCCTCAACTTGTCGAACCAATGTCCTCGACGAGGTCCGAGGAGATGAATATCGGTTAAAATCATTACTCTCGTCTCTTCTTTCTGTTCATGTTCTCGCGATGGCAATACAGGCCACGAACATGTCACATAGATTGTTATGTAATATATCAGATACTCATTGTAAAGGACAATTACAAAAATAGCCAATGGGACATACCATAGCGCCCCAAATCGTTCACACATCACCGCCTTTTGCATTTCTTCTGGTGATGTAGTGGACAAGATTTTACGCAGTTCGCCATTAAATGTTGGCAGCAATTGTTAAATAAGAAAGTTTCTTTTAAGAGAAATGGAACTGTGAATTTGTCACCTTAGGATGTACGGCAAGTTTATGAGTAATTAATGTATTCCATGTTTTATTCTATCGATTACTATAACAATAACAGTAGTTTATCCTATTTTATATATGTATTTGATAAATAAATCCAATAATGGAATAATATGACATTGATGATTAACAGTACAACAAAGCATAAAATAATGAAAGAATTACATTTACATATATTTATATCATAGTTTTAGTTATCGCATTCATTCTATGCAAAACATTCATCATAAGAGGATTAAATGTTATTATTTTTTTTTTTTTCATTTTTGATCTCAATGAATTTTCAATTTCCATTCTATAAAATATTAACATAAAATGAGTGTACGACAAGATTATTTAGCTATGTGATATAGAGTAAAAAGGGTAAACTAAAAAAAAAAAAAAGAAGAAGGAAATCATTTCATAATTTTTCTGTTATTTAAAATTTCTCTATTACTCATTCTTTTTACTATTAAATGTAAGAAATGTAGGTAATTAAATGGAGAAATATCTCTTTTTATTCTTAAATTTTTCTAGACAATTATTTAGAACAATGGAGAGAATTCTTTTTCTAATTACTTTGTGACATTATCGAGATTTTTTATCTTTTCTCGTTCAGTTTACCTTATCATTTTCTCCTCTCTTCTGTCAAATCTTTATTGTTATTTCATAAATTTTAAATGTAGATAAAGAAGTTAATTAATGTATGAATAACAGTGTAGCACAATTTTACAAAATATGGTAGACTCACCTGTAATCCACCGTTGACATGGCACAGTGACACAGCGTGAAGCACTCTTTGTCATCTGATTTCGAATAGATTTGGAAACAGAAATGCATTCCTCTTAGCTTCAGTTCATACTTATCATCAATAATAGCCCAATGTTCAGAGCACGGACGAGGAATGTAGTAAATTCATCATTAGCTACTGATATCTTATCATATCACTTATTTAAGACTGGAATCTAATTACGGGGAATATAACAGTAAGTGAGATCTTCTATTCATGCTTGCTTGTAGATCTTCCAATCTTTTCTTTGTTATAAATCAATTTGCATCAAAATATTTATGCCTAAATGGAATAGCAGTAGAAAATAAATGATTCATATTCATTTATTAATATTAATTTATTTATGATATACTAATATAATTGAATGGAATTCATCCATAAGTAAAGTACTTTGATCCATTGTAATAAATATTTAGAGAATTCATTTGGATTTGGTTGGGAATTTGATGCATATTTTGTTAAATTAATGAATGGTATATTAATTAGTAGTGCAAATATTAGAGTACATTTAATATGGATCTTCCTTCTCTTTTGATACATTTTGATAAAAAGATATAGCTGTTCTTTCGATATTTAAATTTAAAAACGCGACATTTTGATCTGTTTTTTTTTTTTTTTATCAAAAAATAGGGATAAAGGGAGAAAATAAGAAGTAATACTGGGGGATCAAAATGATTTGGACTAAGCATGATGACCAAAAAATTAACAACTATTACTTGCCAGGTCATATTTTTCTTAAAATTTAATCACGTATCATTACGTACGCTGCGCTGAACAAAGGAAGTATACTGTTGAGTAATTTAAATTATTAGGTTCATACTTAGAAAAATGGACCAAAATAATGAAAAACAATAAATTGTAATTGGGTCCATACTTAAAAATGAACCAGATTATCTAATTTAGGAATGTTATTGCATCTTAAATTGTTGTCAAATTATTAGAGTAATCCTTTTACACCTTATTATCATTTTCTTTTTTTTCTTTAAAAAATAATTGGAAAAATTGATTTTGCTCCCAAGAATTGTTTTTGAAATTTTTATCAGATATTCCAAGTAGCGCTTTTTTTTGCACCATATTTCACATTAAAAATTTAACTTTTAATGTAAACTGTTTGTCATTTGAAAAATAAGTAATTTTGACAGGACTCAAAAAAAATTTCTTTTTTCTTTTTGTCTCAGATTATACTGACAGAAATATTTCAATTCTTTTAGTAGCACAACTGAGGTCTTAATGGAAGATAAAAAAAAAAATGTTTGACCAAAACTTTAATAAAACGAAATTATTAAAAAAAAAAAATTATACTTCTTAAGATGATGCGATTTTAAGCAAAACAAATATTATTATCTAATCACTGTAACTTTCTTTGTGGTTTTTTTTTTTTCTTTAAGCTAATCTTTGTAATTTTTTTCTTAAATTATCATTTAAATGATATAATAGCTTTTCAAACATTTTAATTTACTTTCAATTAGCTATGCTAATTTTCAAAATTTCTATATAAAAAGAAAAAATTCATTTTGATCAATTTTTAGATAGCTTATGCGGTTACATTGATGCATTGTACGAATATTGCTGAAATTTGTAAATGAAATTATTGGAAGAGTTTTTCGTTATTTTCATCCTCATTAAAAAAAAAAAAAAAAACTTTCACATTTAGACAAATAATTATTTTATTTTTTAATTTAAATTTATTCTTAAATTATTAATAATTTGAAATTTAGCAACAACAACAACAAAAAACAGCGATGTCCATGCATACATATCAGCGAAACGTCTCGCTGGAATGATACGTTCACTTAAGAAAGAAATTATCAATGAGTTGAATATCTGGCAAAATACTAATGCTGAAAATTGCCAGTTGAAAATTGATATTCATCATTTTCAGGAAAAGTAATTAATAATTGTCAAATTTGCAAAACAAAAAAGAAAAATTAAAAAAAAAAAAAAAAAGAAATTTCTTAAGTTTTAGTTTTTTTGAACTTTTCCAGAAAAAAATTTCTAACTTAACAAATTTAAATGATATTTGACATTGTGCATATTTTCTCAATTTAACTTATAATTTTGGATATAATAATTATTTTTGCTTTTTTTCTACCATTCAAATTTATGTCTTTAACATTGGTATTATTAGGAATAATGATTAGATCAATTAGAATTCATTAAAATACTTCGCTAATCAATCATGATTGATCAATATATTTAGCATGAAATAATTCTGATTTGATCTGTTTGATCAATTTACTGCTTCTGCTACGATCTAAAATATGTTCACTATGAAATTGAATTACGATTATAATTTGAACACATTGTCTTATATAGTGTCACATCTTATCAAGAAATGCAGAAAATAATTTATAAAATGAATATGGATTTTTTAGACTTAAAGAATTAAACATTTTATGCATTAATTGTGAAACGTCCAATGCTGAAATTGAACATCGGAAAAAACGATACTCGGAACAGCTAACAAAAATTTCTAAATTAATTTCTGAGCAGGTCTTTCTTTTCAGTTATTTGTAATGTATCATTTTTTCTTTTCTTACTTACTAAAAGGATTGTTTTAAATGATTGTAAAATTAAGTATGTCATTGAACGTAAATATAAAACATTAACATATTAGTTTTTTAAGAAAACTTAATATAACGATCATCATATAAATATGGTTTAAATGATTAAATTGACAATGAACTTTGAAGTGTTAAACTTAGTAATTATTTATAAAGAATTTCGATGCTGCTAACTGGGCAATAATTTTGGATGAAATGGCATTTGCAAATCGAGAATTATTCGAGATATTACTGTCAACAGCTACTGTAGAACGACGAGCACTTCAGGTGAACTTATCATTTTGGATCAGCTGATGTATTTAATTAAGGCATTCAATTCGGTAAATCAATTGATATCCGTTCTATAAGTATGAATAAAAGAAAATTGATTTAATTTCAGTTGGAAACAGCTGAGGAAGACAAATATAGAAATACGTCAGAAAGACTTAATTTAAAACGAATCGAATTGCGTCAAGAATTATATTCTCAAATGAATAATTATGAATCGTTGAGAGAACAAATTAATCAAACTGAAAGTAACTTAACAAATCTTCAGAAAGCTATTGATGTATATGATGCTGAATATTGGCAATTAAATGATGCAGAACATAAGTAAGTATGAATATTTGAAAGTGTTAGTATACAAATTCGATTTTTAATTTTGACTCAAATTAGGAACAGTGTAATTTTTCGACTGATTATCTCTCATTAATAATGAAAAATATATATATATTTATATGAATGATTTCTTTTCTAGTCTACAATCTCAAATTTTTCAACTACAAGAACTTCTGCGTCATTCTCGGCGTCGCCGTCGCTTCAATTCAACTAGCGAATCATCCTCTCCACTTACTGATACTGCTGATAAGAATGAAAGTAAAGAATATAAAAGTGATGAGTGTTTAATAACGAAACGAAAATTCAATGCAACAATTCCGCACCGTAACATATCAAAGGTTACTTCCTGATACTGCTGGTAATACATGAATAAATGTATTTGAAGATTGGACTTGAAATTCAAAGTGAAATTTTACGAGTGGAGTTATTTGTTACGAATTTCATCTTTCATGAATCAAATTCAAATCCTTTTCTTATATCTGTCTTATTTGTACTTTATTTTATACTTTATTTTATTATACTTTATTATAGTATTGGATGCAAATAATTACTTCTCTAACTTCTCTAATATATAGTATTTGATGCAAATAATTACTTCTCTAACTTCTCTAATATATAGTATTGGATGCAAATAATTACTTCTCTAACTCTCCAAATTTTACAACCAATTTCAGAAGGAAAATTTTGATAACACAAATGCTAAGAGTAAATGTCAAGTATTACCGAAAACAACGCCAGATACAAAGGTTAATGTTAATTAAAAGTTAATGTTTGGTGATAGGTTCAAGTCCAAAAAAAAAAATGCTGTACAATCAAAAATGGATAGTAAATTTGAGTTTGAAAGTTCATTACTTTGTGGGAAATCATTTCAAGCAGAATTAACGGTGAGTTCACATAGGACAAGCTTTTGTAATATTTCTCTCAGAAAATCATGTTCCAAAAATTTTTTTAAATCTGACCACAATTCTGCTAACTGATTTAAAAAAATTTGTATCACATGATCATACCTGTAATCTTAATTTTGCATCGAAAAAATTGAAATTACAGAGAAAACAAGTAGCAGATGAAACATCAGATTCAAGTTTCAATATTCGATCTGACTTTATGTGGAAGAAGAAGGAAACTGATTCAAAGTTAAATCAACCAGTATCACCAACTTCATCGGTACCCTCCAATACATCTTCTTTCCTCGTTCAGCATCATAAATCACCATCCAAACCTAAATTAATGGTAATTCTACTAAAATTCTATGAAATATTGGCATTATATGCATTGGATTTCGAAGAAGTATTCTATATATTAAAATTTGAATTTTTAAAAATTTTTCCACTTTTTTGGAAATTAATAATTCTAAAGTGAATAGTAGTAAAAATTATCATCCATTAATTCAGTTATTTTAAGTAGTTCAGAAATTTGTTAATTTTTATAATTACAAGAAATCACAATATCAAAAGCAGATTCAACAGAAAGATTCAAACTGGTCATCATCGATGGAATCTTTCAAAACGACACCATCACAAACGATGACAACTGAAACTGTTAGATTTAAGAGAGTATTTCATGTAAACATATGTTGTGTTTTATTTGTTTAGATTTTGAAAAAACCGTTGCTAAGAAAAATTTCAATTATAAGACTTTTCAATTTTTGATTCAAAAAAATCAATAATTCTAATTTTAAAATAATTAGCGCTGTTTATATTACAATAAGAAATAATAGCAGTTAAAAGATCATGTTAGTATTCAAAATATCCAGAAAACCAGTATTCTGGACTGATCAAACTAACCGGAATCACTGTTCAGCAACCGAAACGTCAGAAATCACGGATAGATCTGAAAAAAAGAGGGAAAATTAGTGAAGAAATGAATAAAGGAACAGTGGATGAAATTGGTGATAACCAAGAAAGTATTACTGATTTGCAAAGTAGTGAAGAAAATAAAATTATCGATTCATGTAAATCTAGCAACTTTCTGGCTTCGGATGACGAAACAACCGATTTAACATCTGAATCCATTTCACTTTCGGATGCATTACCATCGAAAACTGATATCATATCACCGATTAGCAGTATTACTAGGGATCAGGTAAAGAAGGTATTTTAATGAATATTATAAGTAAAACACAAGTAAAATCTTACATTAGACTATTGGATCAGTTGTCATAATTTCCGTTTTAATAGAATATTATTGTGCTAGGTCGTTCAATTTAACATTCTTATCAATAACTTGTCATATACTTGTCAACTACAATCTACTTATAGTATTAGTACAAATTGTTTCTCTAAAATGATTTAAATATAATTCAGACCATAATGACCTGAAATGTTTACTGTAATTTCTAACTTAAATCTGATTTTATGCATTTTTTAAGGAAAAATAAAAATATCGCAGTGATAAAAAGCAATATTATATGCATGCATTTTTATTCTAAGAATTTTTTATTTATTTATTTTTTCGTTGTGCAAATCTTTCAAATTATTAGCAGTAGCTTTGAAATGAGTACGAAATTATTTGAGCTAATTGAGCTAATAAATAATAATGTAATGCTTTTAATAGTAAATTTTCAACAAAATTTTAATCTAACAATCCATTAGCGCTTTTTTTTATTTATGCTAACGAATTTAATCACTCAAATGTTTTGTCAGATTAGCCATTACTTTCTTTGGTAGCAATCATGAAACTTTTCTAAATTCATCAGTTAGCAAGATTTCAATAACTTACTAATTATTTAATTTCACGCGTAATTTTTTCTGATATATTTTAACACTAAAAAAAAAATCAATTAGCTTTTTTTACAATCTTTAGCAGACCGATTGGCGTGAAAATTCAAAAATTATTGGAAATGCGCAATGTTTACTGCCAGTTAGGCAGTTGCCTTCATCAGTAAGCATAAAATCTCTCCAAGTTTCTTTTTTTTTTCTCATGCTTGAATAAATTCGAAATATTTACATATAGATATATATTTACTCATTCATTAGTAAGCTCTGTTGCTAATACTTTAACCATAATTTTTAAATAAAAGTTAAAACGCATATGATTTACAAAACTTTCGATCAATCATTGATGTAATTTGTTATTTTTAAAGTTATGAATAATCAATTTGTCTTCATAGGGAAACGCAATATTATTTATTTAGCAATTATATAAAAAAACTTTTGTAAATAATTTTGTGAGAATTTAATTCGTTTAATATTAACGAGAACTTACAGTTATCTTCGTTATCTGATAATTCATCTGGACAGGAAACAAAATTTCGGCAGCTATCTCATATTTCAGAATCAGAAAACAGTTCTGAAATATCAACAAACAGTAAGCATTTTATAAGTTGCTCTATGATAGATATACAAATAGGAGATGATAATGATAATGATAATGATTTTCGTTTTAAGAACCAATCTTCCTAATATTTATTTTACCTGTAATAGTAGTAACTAAGAGCTTTTGCTTCTTCATATGATTATCCATAATCAAATTCTCACTTTCATCGCTTTCAATAATCTTTTTTTCTTTTTTCAAAAAAAATTTTAGAAATTCCTCACTGCATTACAGTGCAACAAAATAGGAAGTAAATTAGTTAAAGAAATGAAATTCCCAAGTTTCTACTCATTTTTCGCCTAAAAAATTTGCTTCTTACTTGCAAAAGAAACATTTTTTTATTTTTATTGAAACTGTTTTTTGCAATTATAAAACTTCGGCAGCCTTACTTTCAATTGCTTTAAAAATAATCAAAAATTATTAGCATTAAATTATCATACGTAACTGTCAAATGTAGAAACATATGATATGAAAATTAATTAGATTTCATATAATTAGTACGGTGCATATTTTATTGCAGTGTTAATAATATTAATGAAATACACAATAATTATAACCAAAACAAATATAGCTACTAAAAGTGTTTAAATTTACTATCAAATCAAATGTTTAAGTTCACAAACTAACATATATTTACTTAACCAAAAATTTATTTATTGTTAAGCTAATGATTTATTACAACAACAACAACGACAACAAATGATGCGTCAACCGTCTTACAATCGATCGCTAAATCAGGGTTTGTTGATATCGACTGAAAAAGCTGAATTTAAATATTACCAGCCATTTTTGAAACAAGGATAGTAGCAGGAGACATATTACCTAACTATCGGGATATTATCCATTACCATTAACATATTCTTTGGGTCGTTGACCTCTTTCGGGTCACATCCTGAATGATCAGGATGATCTGTGTAACATACAAAGATCAATCGAAAAGATCTCTGACTGACTGTTAATTCAAACATGCTAACAATAATTTTTAAACGATGATACTATTTTATAATCCATCGAGAGTAGCAATAAAATATATTGAATAATTAAAATGATAATCTATTCACTTGCACTAAGTATATCATTTCAAATAGAGTTCTTTAACATGTCAATACAGTAGCTTTATGCTTAAATCAAGCATATATTAGCATAATTACAGTGAAATCTGATGAGCGACAATCGAGAAGGTCATCGTTACTAAATCATAATATTGAATTATGGGAGGAAATCTCAGAGAGAGCATTTTTCCGCGATATTGACAACAAAATTTGAATTTTAATATATTATGCAAATATTTTCATTGATTTTTATCTCTGTTCGCATTTTAACATTGTTTGTTACAATTATCTCATTTTAAAAATGAATAAATTAACAATGAATATGCTTTCTTTTTTCTATCAATATGAATTTTTCCCGGTTTTTGGGAAAAGCAAAAACTAATTTTAGTATATTATAGTGAAATATGAATTGGAAAGTTCTGACATAAATGATTTAAACTTCTTTACACAAATATTACTGTCAACTGAAACCACCGATAACAATATTATAACATATAACATAACACGTTAAAGTTACTAATCATATGATAAATGACCTATTGGATATTTTTCCACTTTCAAAATATTCCACTTCTGAGCATTCATTCATCTCATTTCACAAAAAAAAAATTCACAGGGTGCTTCAAATAAAATGCATCAAAATTTAAATGATATAAAATATCGAAGTGGAATTCTAGGAATAAATTTTTGGGAAACAAATTCTTTTGATAACTGATTTTTCACACATAGCATTTATTTTTTTTAATAAGAATCTGAATTAATATTAGTACTGAATTGTTCTCACAAGGAATGCTTAAGTATATCAACGATACTATTTGTTTGCCTTTCTTCCATTAATTATCTCACGGTGATTTACCTTTTCTCTTGTGCATATTTTCAAGGAAATGCAGAAATTGCTTATAACCTTTCAGCAAAACTTTATTTTATTCAATCTTACAGCATCAAAATCGGCTTTTTTCTTTACTGAAAAACAAGCCCCGATATCTTCAAATATTATATCTTTTTAAAATTCAATATTTAGATTCAATTATAACCGTAATAATCTCAAGTTAATAAGTAGTCAACCATAAAAGTGAGTATTTAGATAACCACTTGCTTTTAATTATGTTTCTTTCTTCCTTTTTAATTAAGTAATTTCATTTCTTAATTTGAAATGTTAGAATTCATGATAATTCAAAATGTTTGCATTTTGAATATTAAAAATATTAACTAAAGTTAAATTTCTTTTTAGTAATTTCCAAATTCAGAACAACAGAGATTGTTTACTGATAATATGATTGTTCGTTATTACTGTATCATTGCACTATTTCTAATATCACCTCTAAACTGCCATGAAGGAAATGCGACAAATGTATTTGACATAAGAGACGAGCAGCATATAATAATTAAATATACAGTAGTTGCGGTATTTTCTTTTCTCGTGCTATACGGTATTATTAGCAATTTTCTGATGATTACCGTATGCTATAGTTGGAGCAATCTTTACAGTCGTCCATTCACTCTTATCGTATCTCAGATTATTATTTCAGTATTGGTAAGCTTTATTCCATATGTGATTATCCTGTTGCCTGGAATATTACTGAGTAAAAAATATGGTAAGTTATTTTATTTTCATAATTATTTTTAAGAAAATGAAAGATTAGCATATTATTGATGAATAAAACTATGTCATATGACTGGTAAATATCTGAGAATTTTGAATCACACTCAGACATTTTCAAATTTGTTTTAATAAACTTTTGTTGTGCATTTTAGCTTACAAAATGTCGCAGATGAATGATGCATTCTGCAATGTTCGTACATATTCAATTATCTCTATGATATATTTCTCATTTCTGCTAACATTGAATCGTTTCATAGTCGTAATTTTGCCAAAATACAGCATATTTTTCCAGTCACTAAAGCTGTATTTTTTGCTTCTTTTTATATGGTTGATCGCTTTTGGTATGATATAATTAAATTTTGCGCAATGTTTTAAATAATTATTTCATTCATAAGCAATTTATGAAAAGCAATGATTGTTCAATTTTGGCGATTTTCATCTTTGTCACCATGTTTTTAATTATTGGAATGAGATTTTATTCAGCATTCTGCTCCTACTTTACTACTGGAGAGTTATAAATAAATTATAAATTTCTACTTGTTATTGAATTTCAATTTTCAGCAACTTCATTTGGTGATTTTTATTTCTATACGAGACATTTCCAAGTTTCTACCTTGCACTGCTCTAAAGATTACACAAAACATTCTGGCGGAAAACTTTTTAATCGGTCAGATTTAAGAATTCAATTACAATTTTAACGACACATTAAAACTTATACTGCCTCAAATTAATCTTTTTCTGTTACTGTAACGATGAATCAGAAAAATAATACTGTCTTAGATTAATGAAAATTTATTAATTAGGTTTGATCAGTTTTCAGTCTTCTTGTTATTTCGTTGCTCTCTCTATCCATTGCAATAGTTGTAATGTACACAGCAATCATTTGCAATATACGTCGTCGTTTTGTATCAGTTAGTAATGAAACACAAAGTTAGTGATACCAATGATTGTTTTTTTTTTTTTCTTTTATAATAAAAATAGATTTTGTACTTTCATATTATATTGGAAATTTTTGGTTATTTCAAAAAATATCCAAAATTTACTTTTCTCTTTTGCGCCATAATTCATTTCAAATTAAACATAAAATTTTAGAAACATTTGTGGTTAAAACAGGACCTAAAACATATACATTAAGAACTGTCAAATACGAACGATCAATGTTAATTCAAATAGGATTAACTTCTGGTGGATTAATATTTGGAATTCTAATATTCAGCGTCCTACCAGTGGCAAAAATTTTCGGCCAAGAAAGCTCAATTGCAATGAACATTTTTCGATGCTTCTATATCACCTTGTATCGTTGTGCATTGCCAACAGCTTTTTTCTTAACCAACGAACGTGCTCGTAAATTCTTGAAAACTAATGTAGTAAAACCTATCCAAATTCTTACCAAACAAGTTACCAGGTAAAGATATTTCACGTAAACCTAATTTAAAGCGTACGTCTCTTAATATGTTTCAAATATCACTGATAACTCTTTTCTTTCTGAAAATAGTGAAAAATCATTGCATATAAGCATATGGAATTTAGAATAGAAAAAATTAGTTGCATATTAATTAAATTATTATCATATTGTCCACTTGAATTATCAAAATAGAAAACATAAAAAATGAAATAATTTCGTTAAGCTAATTTGAATTGATTGTTTGCGATTTATTACAATCATTTTTCTTTTTATTTTAAAATATTCTAAAAGTCGTTCATTTCATTGTCAGTCTGATTCCATGTATTTCTGGCTTTTATTGAATTGATGGAAATTTTTTTTTTATCATTTTTATGTTCAAAATTTTTTTTTATCAATTTTATGTTTGTTGACATGTTTTCGTGCTTTAATGTATTTTTTTTGTTTTCAATTTTGGTTTTCTTTGTTTCCATTACTTGCTGCTATTTGCATTCAGATTCATTAGATTTGAATCATTCAATATTAGAAAAGTGTATAATGTCTTATAAGCATTCTTGCTAAACGGTTTTGCATTAGTTTTTGAAGTTTAACTACCAATATTTTTAGTATTAAAAGACGCCAAATGAATGAGATTGGTAACAGAATAAAAAAAAAATGCAATTAATGCAGTAAAAAAATGCAGGCTGTGAGAAAAAACTGAACATTAGCAAGAAAACAAGCTTTAAAAAAATTAAAAAAAAAAAGAAAGGAATAAAAAAATGAAAAGAAATAATATTTAGGGAAAACTTTCGAGAATTAAGATTTAATGAACATAATGCATAAAATAAGCGAAGCTTTCGTAAAATAATAAATATAATAAATGCAAGCAAAAAAATTTTTTTTTCACAAAAAAACATGCAAAATTGAAATTAGCGATAAAAAAAAAAAGAAAAGATAAATTGCTAAATAAAGACATTGCACAAAAAAAAGAAAGAGAAAAAAAGCTAATTTAATAGAAAAATAGGAAAAAAAGTCGAGTTACCTACTACAAAAAAGAAAGTAAATTTAAAAAATTTTTTTGTAAATTTTTCAAAAACAAAATCTTCAAAGAAATTAGGACAAAAAAATTTCAAACATATGCTAAGCATAAGTTAAAAACAAACCTGTTGTAGAAAAAACTCTTTGTGCTACTGCAAAAAAATAACAAAAAAAAAAAGATGAAAAATAAAATTGTAAACAAAGGACAGCTATAATTAACCTAAATAAAATAAGAAAGTAAAGTATAAGAAACGAAGAACGAAAAGTAAGTAATAAATGGAACGGATCCCATAGACTGTTTTGCCATTTCACTTAGATATAAATAATAAGAAAGAGGGGAAGAAAAGGACAATGAATGTTTTGGATCGAACTTTAATAATACTTTTAATTATATGAGAATATGTTTATTACATGAATAATTTAAGTTAATTAAAAGACCAGTAAAACTTCAAGTTTAATATTTAAAAGATAAAAATGACGATGTATAAGTTAGTGAACACCGAAGCATGCAAAAGCAGTAATAACATCTGTGAGTGATCTCACAATAAGTAGAACAAGGGAATTTTCGAGAAGTAGGACAAAAGGATTTTCGAGAAATAGGACAAAAGAATTTTCGAGAAGTTATTGATGGCGTTAAAGATTAAAGTAAATGTCTCATTTTTTTTAACTTAATTAACTTTGCTCCTAATAACTAATAATCTTAATAACACAATGCATATGTTGACAATATAAATATAACGAATCATTTGTAAAATTACGACTGCTTTTAATATTATCTTAATTTAACTATAGTTTGCATTTATCGTATTAAATTGATGTTTTTAATATTTTTTTTTCTAATAACTAGAAGTAGTCAGGAATTATTTTTTACCCAATGTAATTTCAAACTTACAAAACACGTTAAAGTTACTAATCATATGGTAAGTGACCTATCGATCATTTTTCCATATTCAAAATATTCCGCTTTTACGCATTCATCTCATTTAACAGAAATATTTACATCAGTATGCAATTTACATCAGAAAGCACCAAATTTTGAATGGTATAAAACAACGATTCCAGAAATAAATTTTAGGAAATAATCTATTTTTGACGAAAAATTTATCTCACATTGCACTTCTCTCTTTAGTAAGAATTTCAGTTAATATTAATACTTAATTGTTCTCACACGGAATACTTAAGTATATCAACGATTTATTTGTTTTTCTTTTTTTAATAAATTATCTCACCGTGATTTTCAGAAACCTATCCTTTCTCTTGCTAATATCTTCAAGGGAATGCGAAAAGTGCTTACAACCTTTCATCAAACCTTCATTTTATTTAGACTCTGAAACTGCAACTTCAGCCTTGCAGTATCAAAATCGGTTTTTTCTCTTTTCTGAAAAACATGTCCCGATATTTTCAGATATCATCTTAAAAGTCAATGTTTAGATTGAATTACAATCATATTTACTCAAGTTATTAAGCAGTGATTTACAATAACTATGAAAGTGAACACTTAATTTAGTAGTTAAATTCTTGCTTTTAGTCTTGCATTCTTCTTCTTCAGTATTTCTTAATTAGAAATTAGGATTAATGATAAGTTAAAGTATCTCATTTAAAATTAAAATATTAACGGAAGTTGGAGCTCAATTTTCATAAAAATCAATGTTTAAATTTGAAACAAAAATTAATTTTAATCGCCAAAATGAAATAAATCTATTACAAATTAAAAATTTTATTAATTTTGTCCACTGAAATATTGCTCAAAACTTAATTATTAAAGTTTATTTTATTACTTTGAGCTGTCAAATGATCACACGCATGTGAACATGCATATAAAATAATCAATTAACTTGAAAAAAAATAATATTTTTTAAAGTGAATTGCTATTTTCTAATAGCCTTGACACTTAATGAAAATGAAATTTGATATAACTAGAAATTTTTTCCTAGTCTAATATACAAAAACTCTTACAATTATAAAATTTTCACAAAAATCATTTTTTAAATTTAAAATAAAGCTTAAGCCTAAGTTTAACTCTAAGCCTAAGCCTAAGTTCACCCTAAGCCTAAGCCTAAGTTTACCCTAAGCCTAAGCCTAAGTTCACCCTAAGCCTAAGCCTAAGCCTAGAGTTTATTCTATTATTTAGGGTGTTAAATGACCACATTCCATACAATGCATATAAAATATTTAATTAAGTTGAAAATATACATTTTTTTAATGAATTACTATTCTTTAAAAGTTTCAGTACCTAATTAAAATGAAATTTGATAATACTACAATTTAATTTCCAGTCTAATATACAAAAACTCTTACAAATTGTACGATTTTCATAAGAATCAATATTTAAATTTGAAATAAAAATTAGTTTTAATTGTAATAATGAATTGAAACCATGACAAATTAAAAATTTTGTTAATTTCCTTGCTGAACTATTGTTCAAAACTTAATTATTAAAGTTTATTATATTATTTAAGCTGTCAAATGACATTACACTTTAAGTGACCAATACCCAACCAATGTATATAAAATAAAAATTCTACTTTAAGTTATTTGAATGGTTAATTTCAATTGTTGGAATATCAATAAAATAATATATTCCAATTTTTCAAGCCATAATTAATTGACAAATCAATTAAGTATCAGATATTTCTACTGCAATAATAAAATTGCTTATTAATTTCAACCTTCCAATGTTACGTTCATGTAATTTTTAATTGATTTTGACAACGAATTTAAGATAAAGTAGAATTAAAATTGAATTTTTATTAAAAACTTAAAAAACAAACATTTTGAAATTATTCGACATTTTGCTTAGGGTAATATTTTCAGGCAATGTGATGCGCAAAATTTTTTTTTCACATATTATTTGAATGATCAATTTCAATTCTTAAAAGATTAATAAAATGATATATTCCAATCTTTTTAATTTCAATTAATTGATAGATTGATGAAATTTCACATATTTCTAATGCAATAATAAAATTGTTTATTAATTTCAACCTCCCAATGCTAATTTTATGTTATTTTTAAGTTCTTTTAGCAAACAATTTGAAAAAAAAAAGAATTAAAATTGATTTTTCATTAAAAAATACAAATATTTTGAAAGAAAATAAAATATTGAAAGCTTTTTTTTTTTTGTTTAAACTGTCAAATGACTCTGATCCTATGTGAGCAGATCACGTGCAATGCATATAAAATGATCAATTAAGTTCAAAATAATTCTTTTTTTAAATTAATTGCAATTTTTCAATAGTTTCAGCACTTAATTAAAACAAATTTTAATAATATTAAAATTTATTTCTTTGTTTAATATACAAAAATTCCTAATTCCTTATGGATTATTTGGAAGATTACGTCGGACAACATAAAGAGCAACTATGAAGGACTGATGATTTACTTACTTGGAAATTGTGAAGTGTGGAAAAGTTATTCTTGTTTCATAACTCAATGTTCATCAAATAAGTAGCTGTATCTGACCTGTTTAGTTCATATTTGATTTAAAAAAAAAAAAAAGTGAAAAACAATAAACCAACATTTTGTTTTGATAAAATATTTCCATTTCTAAAATAATTTATACTCATCAAATAAGTACAAAAAGGAATAAACAATAAACAATGTTATCAACAAATTCCTTCCAATAGAAACTATTCTGATTTAATCCTGCAAATTAAATCTTAATTTTTATCGATATGGAAGAAATTAAGCATATGTAAGAAAAAATAGAATGACTGAATTCAGATTGATACAGGAGAATTTTCATAAACGATATCTCAAGAAATCCCAAGTGGGACGTTTGATACATATAATACTAAATCTAGTGGTATCATTATAAGAGTAAGCAATCAAATTGTGACATTTTATTGAATAAATTATAGGATAAAATCTATAATTGAATAATTTATGCTAAAAAATGCTTCACCATGTTTCAACAAGAAAAAAAAAAGGAAAAGAATTTCTATTTACAGATTGATAGCATAAGAAATATGAGAGGTGAAACCTGCATTGAAATGTAAAAATACTTTTTTTAGATGCAGGCGATAGTCATATATACTACTTTATTTGAAGATTTTTCGTAGCTATTCTCATCTATGATGTTTGTTCTATCATTGATAAAAGAATATTTAACAAATCCCCATTAAAATAGTTGAGAATTTAAAAAATTTTCGCTTTTTTTTTTTTCTGAAGAGTCTAAAAAGATCGAATAACATTTATAAATCATAGTCTTTCAGGCAAATATCATTGATAAGAGCAATCGAACTGACTGATAAAAACACAACTTTCAAATGTTTGCATTTAAATATCAAATCGGCTAACATTCATCAGCGTTTCATACAAAATGATGACATTCCTGATATTTTGTCATATTTATTTTATGGGAATCTATGTGAATGGTGTAATTTTACCAAATCGTTCGGGATTATTAACAATCCGAATATGTAACCATCTGATGGGTAAAAGCATTTTTATATTTATAACTAAAAATTGTTTCTGAAACGGATGAACTTTTTAACAAGTTAATAAAATTTCCATGTATCTCACATATTCTCGATTTTTTGCAAACCACTGGATTATAAAATTTAGCTAGAATTTGGTCAATAACATCTATATTTCAGACGCGGCGAAACAAATGACACTCAGCAAACAATTGAGAAAACAAATTTGGAACCCAAAAGTGTTTCTGGCATTATCTCCAGTTAAATCTCAGGTAGTAAAGTCCTGTAGAATTTCTGTAGCTTCACAACTACCTTCACGACAAATGTCATGCACTATAATCGGTTTTTGCTATACGCAAAAAATTAGCTGTGAAATTTGCAAAAACTTATTCAATGTGGCTGTTAAGCTACCAAGAACTCCTGGTGTAAGTTAATCAAAAATTTAAATTAATTTTAAGCTTAGTACTTGCCTAAATAAAATAATTACTGGAACAAAACAGACCAGTGGGATGATTATCGGAAGATACAGGAAGGAACGGGTATACCTTCCTGATACAGCGTAGCAGCTTACTCTCCGCAGGGGGCATAAAGAAAAGATCGAATCTTTGAAGATCAGTAGGAAAGTTTTCTTCTGAGAAAACAGAGAAATTTGCTTGAATTAACTTAAAAGAAGCATATACTACTAATTCAGTCTTAGTTATTTAATTTAACTGCTTATGACTCGTTTAATTCTTCTTTTCAAACCCTACATTAATTTATAAGTACAGTTTTATATGTAAATACTAGCATGTATGTACCTTTTATGTTTTATGTAAAAGCAGGAACATGAATCACATAAATTTCAAAATACAAATAAACAATTATATCAATTTCGGATACAATTTCTCATCAAAAAAAAAAAAAATTGAAACAAATTCATTTTAAGGATCTATTTAAACAACGCTTACAGTTGTACTGTTATTCATTGGAATTCTTGGATTCAACCTGCAATATGATTGTCGATGAGTATCATAATCAAATTAATGAAATGTCATTGGATAACAATCAAACCAATTCGCAACACTGCAAAACGTTAACCCTTTGTGGTTGATAATAGTTCTTCCTTTTGTAAAAAAACTAATGAAAATTTGCCTTTATAAAACATCAAGAAATCAATTACAAGGAGCAATAAAATATTTCAAAACAACTTTCCCATTTCTGAGATCAAGCAAAACCTGGAATCTATAGATTTTGATAACTAGTATGTCATTCTTTCTTGGTTATACCAATCAATGACAAACATTACATTGAATGGAAGGACTAAAGTTTTTGACCAATAAAGGTTACATTGTCTTCAACTTTCAACTTTTAAAGCTCTTACTGTATTTGTAACTCTCCAGAGAGTGAAAAATCATGCACATTGCAAAAATGGATGCACAAGATGAAAAAATTAGAATTAAGAAGTTCTGAAAGAAGTGAAAACCAAAAACAACCTAGACAACTGTATCTTAAAATTTCTAAATTTTAGTCTGAAAATTAAAAAACCTAAAAGACAAACATTCATGTAAGTGTAAGAAAGTCGTTAATTGTAGACATTAATAAAATCGCTCTGAAATAGAAAGAATAATATTAAACACAAATGAACAATACCACGAAGAAATTTAATAGATTGGAAAAACAAACAAACAACAGTCTAGCATTATGAATATTTCCTGCACTTCTTTTCGGACTATGTTAGATATCTCACCATTATTTCATATCCGCTACATATACATATACGTAACTCAGTTCCACTATTCGAAAGAAGTGAAGATGATTACTTGATCTACCACCCAGATAATATTGAGTTCAAATTATTTCATTATGGAGTAGTAACATTTTGCAATTTTAAACTTTTTAAGAGAAAATCTATTCAAAATGAAATCATTTCAAACAAGCTTGAGTTACTACAATCATGTTATTATGGCTTCCATAATTTTAATAATCCGTCTTCCGCATACGATGCTATCAGATTCTGATGGGGATGATGGCATAAACCATTCACTCGATCATCATGTAACTGTAAAAAAGCAGATATAAACAAATAAAATAGAATCAATTTTTTCAGAAATTCAATCTTCGGAGATTTCCACGTCAAATATTTTATTTTATCCAAATAAGGAGTATTTATTTCTATCTATTTATTTCTTTCAATGATAAAACTATTTAACATACCGGTAATGTACTTTCCAAATTGCCAGTAATTAGTGAAAAACAATAAAGTACATGATCTTCTCCAACACAATAAACCCAATCGCCACGAGGAGATAATGTACATGCAACAAAATTGCCATTTTCAGTTTTACCTGAAGTCATTGATTTCACGATCTGAAATATGAGAAAGAATTTAGGGAAAATACTTTTTAAGATTTTATTTTGATGCTTTTTAGAAAATTTTTTAAAGAAGCATCAAAATTAATTATTAAATTCAAAAACTTTTGAATCATAGACTAAGAATTTATACAGTTTTTACCTGTCCCCGAATATTCACAATAACAATCGTATTTGACCGATTGCAAATGATGAATTGATTATCAGATTTGGGAATTGGATTTACGCTATTCACGACTATATCACCTGCTACTCGAACCGTATTCACGCACTCACAAGTTTTTAAATTCCAAACTCGAACTGTTCCATCACTTGAAGCAGAAACACACATATGGCCATCCTGAAAGACATAAATTTTAAAAATCTAGCTTTGGAATTGGTCAATAAAGCAAAAGTGGTAGAACAACGTGTAGTGCCACTTTTTATTCAACTCCTTTTAAGTAGCTTACCTCCGTATATTTCGCATCATTAACATAATTTGTATGTCCTCGAAGTTCCTTCAGACATTTGCCACTCTTTAATCCATGAACTCTACAAATAATAATAAAAATAGTGCTGATCAGAGCAATAAAGTCCAAAAATGTGTAAAATGGATATAAGTCAATAATGCATATACCACAAATGACAGCTTTCAAACTCCTCGTAATTAAACTCCTTTCAGTTCATTAATGTAGCACGAAGAATAAATATAACATACTTCACAAGTGTATCAAACGATGCTGAAAGGACATGTGCACTGTCTTTCGAAAAATGTACACTAGTAATGCCCATGTTATGTGCTTTCTCGATACGTCTTAAACATTGCCCCGTTTGTATTTTCCATACCTAAATTGCAATAACAAGTTGTGAAATCCATTAACTGAAAAAAATATCTGAGTAGAATATTTACTTGAAAATGTATTTGAAATTTATTCAACTTCGCTAAAAAAGACAAAAGAATGTTGCTTATCATTTCTTAGAGTTGTAGAAATTGAATATATATTTTGAGACCAAGTGAATATAAACATGAGATCACAGGGTCATAGCATGAAATATGCTATCTGCAACTCCAGAGACATGCCAAAAAGAATTTGTGGAAAATTTGATTTGTGCAAACACTAATTAAAAGTTCAATGATATTTCTAATATTTTATATTATAATGCAATGCGAAACAAAAAAAACCTTTATTTTGCCTTCCATGCTAGCTGTGACTAACATTTCCGAATCACGACTGAAACATAAACTTAAAACTAGACCATCCATCATCATAAAATTATCTTGCGCTTGATACTTCAAATCCTTCCGTAGCTTTCCATTCATATAATTCCAGACCTTAAATGATAATATGATTCATGATTGATTTAAAAAGACAGATATCCACACTGAAGTTTCAACAACAAAAGAAAATCTGACTTCAATAAAACCATCCACTGAACCGGTAACCAAGTACTGTCCATCCGGTGAAAACTGCGAGCAATGCGGGAAACTTGTTTTACCAAATTTAATTTGACGCGCCATTTGTGTTGGGTAGCGTTCCTCCTCCTGTTCACGAATTGCGGCTTTACCACGAAATAAGTCGATCTGTGTTCCTAAATATTATAAAGATCATGGGCATTATAAAAAGATCCATAAACAAAAACCAACATAAGATAGAAGAGCTGGAAGGAACTTTCGGGAACAAAAACATTAGTGTAGAATGTTTTTTCTTTTAATAATTCGACAAAGTGGAAAGCACAATTTTTCCTCTTATTACTTCGTAAATAGGAATTGTAATTACGCAAACCGAGAGGCATTTATTTTACCATCAAAAAATTTCGAATATTAAATGCTAATTCGTTTGAATAATGAAATTATTGAATTAAACCGGGTGGAAGAAGTCCTTGATGCTGTTGCCATTTCAACGCTTGTGCCAAAAGTGCCAGTAATCTGGACGGTGGTACAACGTTCACTTCGGCAGATAAAGACTGCAAAAAAATCTCTTTTCTCTTGATGAATTTCAGTAATAAATGTTGAGAACATCAGATGCATACTAAAAGCACACCAACCATATAAGTAAACTACTAGCATAAAATAAATAAACTGAATCTATTTGAACAAAACTCAAAGCCAACCTGTGCAATAGCAGCTCTTCGCTTCTCTTTTGAGCTACCATCAGGATATACTTCACGTGGATCAAAGTAAGAACGAGCCAGAAGATTGTCTAGTCGAGCATATCTGGAATATGAGAAAATTATATGAAAAAATCTGTAACATCAAGGACTATATGATTACCTCATTTTTAGATATTATATAAGGAAGGAGGATAGAAAATGACAGATAAACGAAAATTTCCTAATTCTTAGATTTTTTTCAGTCTGGAATCCTCAAAAACTGAGAAGCGATTATAGGCTAAATAGCAATATTTAGCGTAGGACTTAAGTTAATCTTAAGCACGAACATTAGCAACAATAAATTTGTCAGCATACTATGTTGATATTATTAATAGTCAACATAGTACCTCTCTGGCTCTGTTGTTTTGAGTAGTTGCATTGGATCGGTTTGTCGCAGAAGAAGTCGAGCTGAGCCCAATTCACGCAATTCCGTCAATTCAATTACAATCTGAAAAGTAACATGCAAAAACCTAATCATTTCCGCTTCCTATCTTATTATAAATATAGCAGTTCAGTAATTAAAATATGACTACTTATCAAAGATGTTAAACTTATTGATGACTCCACTAATTTTATCACAACTATCATAAGCAACATCTACGTACTTTATCGCTATCGCATGTATTGCAAAATACACTGCAAAAATAATACCTGCTCGTATAAATCGATTAATTTCTTGGCTGGTAGTTTTAATGGCTGAATTACTTTGAGCACCGTATCCCAATGCCCATTTTGTATATCATGCACAAACGAATCAATACTATCTACCGTATTTAATGTAATGTTTGTTTCCTCCTAAAAATAGAAAGATTTCCACGATGAAAATAGACTAAATGTATCTAGAAAAAAAAAAAAAGAACAAAAGATAAATCAAACATTCCCTATCTTTCCTAATTTACATTGGATGAAACTAGATATTCTTCTCAAACCTCCTTCTACAATTGCCAAAAAAAAGATAGTTATCAATTAATGGATAAAGTTCAGAAAAAACTACATATATTTAAACGAGCAGCATACTTATTTTAATAATCAAACTTGGTTAATGTAAAACATATCAAAAAATAATTTTGTATTATAAAAAAATTTATCCGGCACAAAATTATCCTAAAATTTTATAAAAAATAAGACAAACCTGTAGAACTGCTAATGTACGCATTAAGTTATTTTCCTTTAAATATTGTTCCACAAGACGCACAACACTGAATTATAAAAATTTTAAGAACAGCGAATTATTTTCGATTTTTCAAGATTATCCTCCAAAAAAAAACAATAACTGTCAAACTTTTACAAAAAGTATTCTCAAAAACATTAGTGAATGAAATGCATTACAAGCAACAAATAAACTCAGGATATGAAAAAAATAACTTACTCTGAAGCTTCTATTTCAATTGATGTCATTGTTATCTGTAAATAAGTGAAATTCAGTCGTTTGGAGTAATTGATAAAAACATTTTTTTCTGCAAATAATTCTTACCAAGCAACGCTTACCAAATTAATCTTGAAAAACTTCACCTCATTTATGTGCAAACTTTAAGTTTAGGTCGAAAACTTATCAAGCCCAGAAAATACCCACTGATGTCAGGCTTCCTTATTATATAATTATTCGGAAAAAATCAAGAAGAAATAGTCTGGAATGTTAAATTGATCGGATTGAAAAACTCGACATTTCTTACTCTACCGATATACTCTCATAAAATTACGCATCTAAAGTTACCCCATTAAAGTGTAGTCTAAGACTGATGACAAGAGATAACATTCATCCTTTTCATCTATAGTCGATCGAACAAATACACCAAACAATTAAATCACCATTTGCACTAAGTTTCAAATAAGTTCGTTTAACGATGTACAAAACTTTACCGAACTCTTGTCTTGTGATAGCCGGAACTGTTATCTTGACAAAATATTTCTCATATCTCGGTTTCTTGACCGATTTTTAATTTCACTAGCAGTTATATATTGAAGTGAATAGTTTTATTTTCCAGCCAAAAGAAATCGAAGAAATCACGATGCAATGAAGACAATAAGTTAACAATCCTAAACAAGTAAAAGATACAATCAATGAAGAACTGATCCCATCATTTAGATTCAATTCAATATATAATCAGACATAATTCATTCTACAAAACTCTTGCATGCTTTAGGGTTTAAGAATTCTAATTTGTAAGAGAAAGACCAGGCGCTCGCATTTCCAAGTAGTAATATTTTAAAGGATTTGAAAGTAAGGAAAAAAAAAATGCAGCGTTTGATAGATGAAATGAATATAAGATTGGGGATTATTCATATATTTGTTTTAAAAATTTCCTCTAGCATTCCTTACGAAGCGCTTGGAAAAATTTATTTCTATTTCAAATAAAAATAAAACCAATTATACTAGCTGAACAAAACCAATAAATTATTTCTAACAAACAAGATTAAAATCTAAAATAATAATATAATTGACTGTCTCCTAATTCCCTTTTTTTATAAAGGAGCACTTTCATTTCAAAACATTTTCATAATGTATTCAGTGTGCAATAAGGAATAATACACACATATAGTATATTAGTGATAGCGAACATTTATAACTGCAATATAATTTGAATTTGGAAAAATATACTAGAAAAAGGTAGAGCATTAAGAGCATTAAGAATCTTATCAAGTTACCAACCAACCAACCAACCAAAACAAATGAAAAACCATAGTGACGAAAGCACAAAAATATAATTTTCAGGTGGACAAAGAAACGATTACGAATTTTCTTCCCAAATGTGAAAAGTAATGCAACTATACAAATTAAGGCGACTGCGAAGACCGAGGTTCATTGGAAAACATGTGAGAATTTTTAAAAAGATGTCACATTTAATTGTACTTATATTAGTGAAAAGATGGATACTTATCAATGTTTGTTTCAACATTAAAAAAAAAAAAAACAGATTATAATTCAGTATTTCTAATGCAACAGGAAATTTAGTATTCATACATGTAAATCCATTTCTTTCAAAATCAAGTTCGTATCATGCATTAGTCGGCCACAGTTATTACTGGGAATACGTTGTTGGCACTAAATAAAGAAAATTAAAATTAACATGAAATGACAGACTTTTATACACATTATATATACCTTTATTCTACCCATCTAAAGTTGTTCCTTTAGCAGAAAACCGATACTATCTTTGCTGATGTTCCTGCACCAACAAATTAACAAGTCAACATACATTCAATTTTATTTACTTTCAATCTGCTTTTTGATAAATAAATTACATATTTCTTTTCCTTAAGTACTATAGCACTTATAAAGGAAGCGCTATCAATATGTGACATATCAGGAAATAGAAGCCAATGCCAATAATACAATTTGAATTACGATATCAAAAATTATCAAAATCCCAAGTCGCTTTTTTATACTATTAAATCAATGATTACATATAATGAAGACCACGATTTTTTCCCTTATTACTCAACACGTCTTCATGACTGTTTGCTCTTTGAAAAAAAAAATGTTTTTTGAAATAAGCCTAAAGTGGTAACCAACAAATCTTCTTACCGGCTCATATGTTAATTATAACACTCATAATATGTTACTTCTCCATTTAATTACAAAAATAAGCCAAGTCAATTCAATAAGATACACAGTTGGCTAACATCTACATTCCGAAACTATGGAAACTTCAAGTCATACCTTGTGGTGGTAAACCGAACTGATTATTTTCAGCCATCTGGAAGCCCGATTTAAATGCTGGGTTCTCTACGGAATAAGTACTCATATCTAACTGCTGCTGTTGTCCAAGCGTTGCCGCAGGTGATGTCGGTAAACCAAAAGATATTGTCGTTGGTGGAGGCGCTAGATGTGTAATACCCATAGCACTTAGTGGAGGCATTGGGAAATTCAAACCCGAATATTGTGAAGAACTTGTAAACGGAGATGCGGAAGATGTCGACATTTGTGGAGGCAATGGTGGATTTCCATATGATCCTTGCTGCTGCTGTTGACGCGGCAAATTTGAAAACATCTGAGGTACTATGCTCGCTACCATAGGTTGAGGAGATGAAGACGAAGCTGCAAAAGAAAACATTTCATAGATTTCATAACCTGAAATTCATTAAACTGATTAGTTTGAACCCTTAAGTGCTGATGAAATCTTATACCTTATATTTTAATAAAACTGAAATTAAGAAAAACATGATACTTAGGTTATAAACAGGAGGTTGTGATGGGTACTGTGGATCATGCATGTACTGTTGTTGCTGTCCTGAATAATAAGACTGCTGAGAAATGATAGCAGCCGATGTTCTCTCATACTGCTGAAATAACACCTCAACTTTTAGAAAAAATTTTTAATAGAAATCTCTACAACATATTGAAGAGCTTTATAAAATGAAAACTTCAAGTTCAATCTTAATACTACATCTGACATATCTATCAAATCGACATTCAGCAACTTGCTTGCTAGTAAACATATAATTGTTATTTCTATACGTGGCTACTTGGCTAGAGTCTAGAAAAACTTAGAAAATCAAGTAGAAGGGATGTAAAAACGGAAAACCTCTGTATCCACTGAATTTCCTATGAAATTTTGTTGCTGCTGCACTTCTTGATTAGCATTTGTATAATTCGCGCTATTATTTTGAATAGAGTAGGCCTGTTCAGTTCCAGAAGATGCCGACAATTCAAGGGTTGGAAATGCAGTTGAAGAAGGTGATGTGATGCTCATTTTGGTATTACTAGTGGTTAATGGTTGTTCCTGCAACTAGTTCGATCAAAAATAAATAACGGAAAATCGTAATTTTTTTTTTTTTTTTGAAACGCAAATAAAAATTTAACTTGTCGATACCGCTGAGTAATTAGCACGTTATCCTTTTTGCGTATCAAAAATCTTTTATAGCCCATACTTTAAAAACTCTCTTGCCGGATGAGAATGTAAGAGAGATATTCCAGAAAACATCAAAAATAAAAGCACTTATTCAAATCAAAATTTCCTAATGCTATAAACCTAACTATGATAGACTGCACAGGTGCTGAAAGTCCTGCAGAACATACATCACTTGGATAAGAGCCACTTATTCCAGCCATACTTGCTGTTGTTGCGCTAATAGATACTGCTGGCTAAAAATATGGAATTACCAGAGAAATTAAATGCAGCAGAGAATTTTCAAAAAACAGGATTAGCTACACAATGAAAAATATAAAACAGAAAGTACGATATAATTCGGAAAAAATCTAACTTGTCTCAGGATTGGTGGCATAAATGAACTTGGATCGGGGAATTTTGTAATAGCTTGTATAGAATCAATTTGCGGAATACCTGTGCTACCTGAAAACAACACTAGTCTGGGTAAATAACCAACTACTTTTATTAATTTAATGTTATTGATATTGATCGGGCAAAATGGCCAATCATCATATCAAGCGCATAATTGTTACAAAGTTCCAAATATTTTAGATCGAAATATATTATATTGAATTTATTTGCCAAAACATGGCAAAGTTTGCTTGATAAACGATACCTATTCAAATCATTATATGTTGTTTCTCACATTTAATAACAATGTTTAATACAAATTTGAGGAAAATCTGTAATATTTTTGCATATATTATAAATAAATTTTTGACATTAGGAAATAAGAATTTCTTTGTCTATAGAAACTTTTCCGTTCAAAAACCTAGAAACTGTTCAAGTGCCATAATATACCTGGTTGAGGAATATTGATAGTATTGTTGGTGGTAGCAGAAGGTCCGGAATGACACGAATTATCGGCATTCATGAACGGTGCTACATCCGATGAATTTGTTCCATTTAACTGCTGTTCAAGCATAGCAGCAATTTCCTCGCCTTTCAGGGGACCTCGTCGATCACCTGGTATGCGGTGCAAATAGCCATAACCAATATCACATCCCAAACATCCTTCACCACCCCAAGCTGAGTTCGGCGTAAGCGAAACCTGAAAAGATCAGCTAAAGAATGTAGCCATTTTTATAGTCTCCTATGTGTTAAGACAGTCACTTTTTCGCAAATAAAAACGTCATACTATTAACCTTAATTTATTTAACCATATAAGATCCGGTTTGCAGTTATATCCCCTCCAAACGAAAAAATAAAACACACCTCTCGTACAGAATCAGTTTCTGTATTATAAACGTATAATTTGATAGGTTTGCCCTCGTTAGCTTGTAAGTGGGCAATAAGATCATCAGCCTAAATAAAATACCAGATTTAACAATCTCACATAATATATTCGAAAACAGCCACTTAAAAGATGGAAACGCTCAGCCATTCACCGTTTAATCTTCGTCTAAATAAAGCATTACATGATTAATTTATGTATTAACTGCCATTTCTTTTTTTTTTTTCAAATAGATCAAAAAATTCTAAACAGCATATATCAGTGATCAGGGAGAAATTCAAATCTCACCTATGTCATCTCTTCTTTCCTATTATTATTTTCCTTTTCTTTTTTTTATTTCATTTCTGCAAAATAAAGTTTAGAATCGATAAATAAAGACCCAAATCAAGAACTCCTGCAGATACTTGTTTTCATTAAATCACAGTCATCTACAACTAAGACTTCTTTTATTTCTACGAATCAATTTTAAATATGGCTTTAACAAACCTGGTTTAGAACAGATTCTGCTCCAAGTATATAATCCAAATTAGATTGTAAACCAGCAATTTCTGCTGGTGAATTGGGCTGAACTTGCACAACATGCCAAACATTTTCACGCGCCCCTTCAAATGAGCAGAATCGGATTGAAATACCAAGCAATCCCTGACCACCCCACATTTGTGATGGTATAATTTGTGTCTGCCGAACTGTTTGAGTTTTGCTAGAAATATAAAGAAATATACAGTATTTACAAGAAACAATTTTACAAAATGAAAGAGGTTTAACCAAGAGAGAAGTAGCAATGTTACACAAGCGTTGGCATCTCTGTAAAAACAACTGATATGACAACAGACATCTAATCATGTATACGTTACAGAATCAAGTGGAAAACTTGGATCAAATGTCCTTAGATATTTAGAGGAAGCATAAACAGCTTACCTGTTATAAACAGTAAGTTCTAACGATCGTTCCACATGCTGCTTTAAGATATCTTTTAAAGTATCGTTATCTGAATTCTGTAATAAAAGCCAAATTATTCAAATTATACAAATTATTAATCGAAGCCAAATTATTTTTTTCATCTAGCTCTGTGACCTCAGAAAAAAAAAACAACTGTGGGAGCTTAAACATTAAATTGAAAAATTCTACGATATAAGCATCCTCAATAACTATAACTACGCATTTGTTTAGTTTCTCCCATTACCGAACATTCAGTTAGTAAAAATCCTAATATTCAATCCACTTTCGACATACACATAGGTAAATAAATCTAACCATTCTTTGAATGTACTTATTTTTTCAGGAAACTTATATAGAGCTATGCAATGGAATAATTTGACAATTACAATCTTGCAGTATTAGCTCTTAGTCGTTTTTCATGAAATGTTACGTTACAGTACAGTAGCAACAGGAAAATGGAAGTGAAATCATTAATTACCAGCCGTGTATTCCCAATGCAAACGATAAAATCGAAAAATGGCTCCAGTCCAGCAGCTTGTCCAGGTGAATTTTCTTGTACCTAAATATTTTTAATATACAATTTATATTACAAACTACGTTTTCGGTAATTATTGACTTGTTCACTAAAAAGCCACTGAAAAAAGAAAAAGAAGAGGAATCATAAGGAGTTGAAAAGGCAGAATAAGGCAATAATTTAACAAGTAATCTTTACTACCACCAGAAAACTGCAGTTAGAAAGCGCAAACTTGCCCAGCATATTGCCATGACATTATCATTAGAAAACTATAAAGGTATCAATTCGTAGTATCATCACCTTAGACATAACGGAGCATGTATTTCTAGCATGAAAATGAGATCTGGTCTCATATTAATTTTTATTCCATTATGTATATGTGTCTGACTAGCTAGTAATCGTAACTGTGGTGCTTATACTATTTTTAGAGAAATACGATTGTTTCCTTGCCGTTTACAAAAACATTATGAATTATGGTTACTGCGATCAAAGAAGTTTCCTTATGATAAGGAGATTCTCTCCTTCTTCAAGAACAATAAAAGTTACCTACCCAGCAAGCATAAATCTTAATGACATATGGATTCATTTCTTTCTTTTTTGTTTTCTTTCATATTCACTATAATACCCATGATTCAAGAAACGGACACTTTTTAAGTGCAGCATTTTGAGCTCAGCTAGACTTATAGATTTTCCTAAGATGACACGGTAATCAATGAGACAGTAACCGACTGTGGTACATTGTACCAACCCATAATTTATACTATCTGATAAATAAATGATTTTTGAAAAACGGAATTCAAACTAACTCTCAATACGTGATAACCTTCGGTACCACCACCAGGAATATTTGTACTACCAGAATTTCCCATTGAAATTGCTGTAACAGTCAATTAATTATTCTCTTTACAAGGATTATCATTTGCATATATACATAAGACAGCCTAAACATAAGTTTTCCTTCTTTTCAAATTCCACAAAGAAGTAATTGAACTAGAAATTCCTCCCCGGCACAACAGCCATTCTCGTTAACAGGATTTGCGTTAACAGAATTCTGAGAGACCTCTTGACTATTTTTAAAGTATATAGAAAATAGAAGAATAATTGATCCAGGTTTTGCCATTGATCTTATATTTCAGTTCATGTGCTAACTTGGAACGAGACCTTAACACAGACCCTTCAGGTATGACCCGTACCCCAAAACATAACATTCCTATCTGAAGAACACCTTACACACCATACTCCAACTTGTCCTGATATTGTGCTGTTAAAACCAGCGGTTTCGGCAACTTGCCAAAAGTATCAGGCTTTCTGGGGTTAGGTGTTGTCTGGTAGTATTTTCCGGGATTCCGGAGACGGAATTTTTGGTATTTTGGGTTAGATAGCCAATATATATATTTTTTTCTCTTCTTTCCTCATCTAAAAAATATGGTAGCTTCAACTGTAACCATTCCATTTCTATCTCAGACGCGGTACAAACTCTTTGTTTTCGTCATCATCCGGAAAATGCCTTGAATCCACGTGACTACAAGTTTTGTCTTGGCATGCACTGTCTTGGTATCCTTAATGATGTTAAAACTGAGATAGAAATATTACTAGTAAAAAGAAAAAATTGAAGCTTTGTGAGGATGCACACTGTAGATTCTTGCAACCATGACAAAACTTTTACTTTAGGATGATGTATTTTAGTATGTACTATGATGTACGACTGTCATTTTCCAAGTTTATATCACCGATATTATGAAAGTTTTTAAAGCTTTGCATTCTGGCATGATGACGTTTTGGAAATATTATTTTAATTTGTCATTTATCAATTTGGCGCTAATATGATGCAGTGTTACATATCAAGATTCGTATAGGTTGCGAAAAGAGCACATTTAACTTTAACATTAATTACGACTTTAGGATGGAATTACTTCAAACTTATCCAGCCAGTAGTGATGGTGCTTCATCAGACACGGATGATGATGGCGAATTGGCACATTGTAAACTAATAACTTTAAAAAATTGCCGATCTGTTGCTCTTGTTAGTGAACTTGCACCAGTTGTTGGTACAAAAATGGATGTTGGTGGTACACGCTGTATCGATCCACAAACCAAAGAGCTTAGTTATAATCCGAAATATGAAGAACTTTTCCAACCTATGGTATGTTATCGATTTCAGATTTGTTAAAAGTCAAAATTAATTTTTCGTTGAAAATTCGGTTCAGTAAATGAATAAAAGTAATTCAAGTTTGGAAGTGAAATAAAGTTAGTATTACCATCTGTATTAGTAAAGTAACGAACTTTCTCAGCATTTAACTTTTTTTTTTCTTTGAATTAAGAGAGAAAAAGAGAAGAAAAAGAACTGGTTTATTTTCGAAAATTCATATCGAGATTTTTGAATTTTTTTGCTGAATAAATAGTTTATTAAAAAAATAACAGTAGGATATTAATATATATGTATTGATTCATAGCATTTATAATCAGTAATGAAGTGATTATCGATTATTCTTCATTAATCTCAAAAACCTTGGTGGAAGCAACTTTTAAATACAACTTTAAAAGACCGTAACATACTACAGCTACCTGATTACGGGTCAAATTATTCATGCTTCTTGCTTTTCTGCTTTCTTTAGTCTGTGTTTCTAGGCTGGACCTTCAAATCCTTTCAAATCAGCCAATCAGACTGCACCAAAAAATATGTTAACTGGTTTTGTGGAATCAGCTCATGTGAACAATTTTCAATTTGAACAGCAGATCAGATCTTTCGACACATTAGGATTTGCTCGTGATCCATCTGCTAGTCAATCTGATCAGTTTGTCGGAGATGCAAAAAAGGTATTGCAAAGCAACCAAAAATTGATAATAAAAATAAAGAGTGTTGTACAGAATTTTGGTGACTTTTTGTTCGTTTCTCACTTTCTTTTCCATTCATTAAATTTATTGGTTCTCTATTTTAGGCTCAGGAACTACAAGGTGCAGGTCTTTTTGAAGGACAAAAAACAGGTGGAGAAAAACGTAGGAGGAAACGAAATATGGACCCCAGTGATGTTGAAGGATATACTGGTATTACGCTATCAAATTTTTGTGAATTGTCTATCATTTGAAATCGTCTTGTTTTTAATCAAATAAAATGATTTATTTTTGTTTTAAGAGTTTAAAATTCCTCTTTGTACATCGAAAAAAAAAATTCTAGGACCATGGGCAAGATTTGAGGACGAAGTGGAAGTATCAAGGCCTGATTCGGAATTAGCGAAGGAGTTGGAAGAAATCGTGAAGAAACGTCAAAAAAATAGTCGTGCTGGTCGTAAAGCAGCACAGCAGCAAGAATTTATTGCGGATGAATCTTCTACATTGCATTGTATGATTTTCTTTTAGTGTGAAAATTGCGTTTGAAAAGTTGTTCTGCATTTTAAAAAAACATCTTCATAGGTTTGGTCTCGGTTTGCAAAAACAGTAACTTATCTTTGTTATTCTGCATTGCCCCTATAATTTGATTAGTCATTTATATCTGCGAAGTCATTTATTTCAGTGAAAGAAGCAGAAGATTATCTGGGACGTTCATTTATACATGCTCCACAGTATATTGGTGTAAATTTGCGTGAGGATCATGTACCAGAACGTTGCTTCATACCCAAAAAACACATCCACACTTATCGTGGGCATAACAAAGGCATCAATTGTCTACGATGGTTCCCGAAGAGTGCGCATTTGTTCCTTAGTGCTGCTATGGATAGCAAGGTTTGATAAAAAATAACATTAATGTTTACTTTCCTTTTAGCTTTTTAGTTATTTTTTTGATCTTTCCATTTTTTTTTCTTTGGACTTGTGTGCTAACTATATGTATTTCAATCGTATTGCATTTCACCAGTTTCTAATCTTGATATCTTAAATTTACAATGTCCACTACAGAAGCTATGATTTTTTTTTTTTTTAATATGACGAAAACGTTAAAAGAAACATTAGAATGAGAAAAGATTTGGAAGTTCTTACTGCAGATCAAATTATGGGAAGTCTATGGAAAGCGCAGTGTAGTAAGGACATATGCAGGACACAAAATGTCAGTTAAAGATGTCACCTTTAACAGTGATGGCACCGAATTCCTTTCAGCATCTTTCGATAGATATATAAAATTATGGGATACTGAAACAGGTTGTTTTATTCATTCCTGTTCAGATTTATTTGCAAAGATTTATTCAGTTTAGAAATTTTGGAGGTATCTAAGTTTTTTTCTTAATGTTGATGTTTTAGATTTTGGTGTTACTTTCTGTAGTAGACTTTTGAATTTTCAATTGTACAATTAATTGATGTTTCGATGCTACAGGCCAAGTTAAACAACGATTCCACACTGGTCATATACCATTTTGTGTAAAATTCAATCCAGATGAAGATAAGCAAAATATGTTTTTATCAGGCATGCAAAATAAAAAAATCCTGCAGTGGGATACTCGGACAGGTGAAATTGTTCAGGTAAATTGGTTTTCCATACTGATTTCCTTCCTGTAGTTTAGTTAGATATAAATCATGCATTTTTTGAATTATAAATTTAAATATCAAATCTCATTGTATTTTAGGAATATGATCGTCACTTAGGCATTGTCAATTCTATTACATTTTTTGATAAAAATCGAAGATTTTGCTCAACTTCTGATGATAAATCAATTCGAATATGGGAATGGTTAGTGTTAGTTGCTGTTTAAAACCATAATCAGACTAATTGTTTGTATCGATGCTTTTCAGAGCTTTTGAGAAGTAGAAGTCCCTCACATTTCATTCAAAATATATATAATGTTCTGTCACCTTTCCGTGAGTCAAAAGGAAAAAAACTTATCGCTATACAAATTAAATTGGAATTTCTTTCCATTCGTTCTTTCACTAATGCACTAAATTGATAAGTCATAATTCACAGTATCACATATTGGTGCAATTAAATTTTGCTTATCTCTTTAGGGAAATCCCTGTCGATACAAAACTTATTCAGAACGCTGGTTTACACTCAATACCAACGATGACGAAGTCCCCAACAGGTTAACAAATCTTCCGAAAATTTAGATTTTTCATACTCAACAATGATGCTGCTTCTTAAAGGAAAATATTTATTGATTTAAAATAATCGTTTAAACTCATTTCAGAAAAGTGGATAGTTGGTCAATCAATGGATAATCGTATCGTATTATTCCAACTAATTGACGATAAATTACGGTTTGCCAAGAAGAAAGCATTCAAGGGACATAATGTTGCTGGTTACGCTTGTTCAGTGGATTTCGCACCAGATATGAGGTTTTTAAAATTCAGTACTTAATTGTTTTTGCCGTATATCGAGTTTGGAATAATATAATCAAAATATGGTCCGGAATGAAGTACTTGTTTTGAAAATGCTAAGTTTTTATTGAAATTTAGAAAATTTTTTGTTATTTTTCAATGTCCTTACTGAATCACAAATGACGTTCTTATTTGTTTACTTTTACTTAATTTCGTTTCTGATTTCAACTTGTCTTTGAATTCTGAAATCTTGACTACAAATTTTGAATTCTTGAAGCTAACATTGAACTTATTAGCCTTTTGTTCTTTTCAAAAAATAACTTCTCCAACTTTTATTATATAGAATTTGATAGTAACCTTGGGAAGCTGCATACTTTTTTTTATGCACAAACTTCACAACTTTGAAAGTTTAGACGTTTTCATTAGAGTAAGTCAATGACAAAACTCAATGACATGACAAGTATCGTTTTCAGCTTCCTAACATCGGGTGACGCGGATGGCAAGGTATTCATTTGGGATTGGCGAAATCATAAAATAGTAGCGCGATGGAAAGCACACGATGACTGTGTTATTGCAACATTGTGGCATCCACATGAAACTTCCAGAATGATAACCGGAAGCTGGGATA